GAAGTGGACAGAGTTCGCGGTACGTGTTTAGCCAAGAACGATCGGGAATCGAGAGCTTTATTCATTATTTGCGAGCCCTCTATTTTCGAGGGATCGAATTCGGCGCGGTCGATCGCGGTTGATTGAACAGCTCGAACTGTTCAATCAACCGGCCTGGCCCGGCGTTTCGAATCGCGGGGGATGTAATATTGATGTCAGAGACGGGAATCGACGAAGTTAGAATCGCCGGATTCATTCACCGCGGCACGGCGAAGCTCTTTAATGAACACGCTCTACACGCGAGGATGACGACCTTTCGCGTTCTCGCGCGTGAACCGGGCATGTATCATTCATAATGCGCCCACGGAATATTATCCGCGGGCGCGACGCTCGTTTATCGTTATCGGATTCGCCAACAGTTGTTCGCGCGCATTGTAAATCAGTTGTTCGGTTTAATTGGGCTCCGTGTTGCTCCGCCGTTTCAGCGATACGCCGCCGCGCCGTGTTCTCAAACTTCGAAAGTGGTACGTTCCAGCCACGGTCAGACACGTGAACCAGCGTCGTTCGGAAAAGCGAAGTCTCCGTGAAAATATGAACACCCGATCAACGTTTTTGTTTCGCGCGGGGTGCAGATACCTTTGGGTGCAGATTTATTCGAAAAAATTGTTGCGCTCGAAAAATGCGCGTTGCAATTTCCTTCGATATTTTCGTCTCGCGATTCTATGGTGAATGAGTTAATATTGTCAGTAGTTATTGTAACATTTAACTAGTGAAATTTTGCAAATAATAGTTATTGTCACTATTCTGTTATACTTATTATAACTATTCTGTTACAGTTATTATAACTGTTCTGCTGTACTTATTATAACTATTTTGTTATATTTATTGCAACTATTCTGTTATGCTTATTATATCTATTCTATTATATTTAGTATAACTATTCTGTTATACTTATTATAACTGTTCTATTATACTTATTACAACTATTCTGCTATACTAATTATAACTGTTCTATTATACTTATTACAACTATTCTGCTATACTAATTATAACTGTTCTATTATATTTATTATAACTATTCTGCTATACTTATTATGACTACTCTATTATACTTACTATAACTATTCAGCTATACTTATAACAACTATTCTATCATACTTATAATAACCATTCTACAACAATTCTACTCAGAGTCGCCACTCGACTTCAAACACTCAACTTCGTCCCAGTTCCAATAACAAATAACCCTCGTCACCCATAACTTAGGCAAAACAAGCGCGAAGACGTCGTCGAAAGTACCCGAGGCGTTAATTATCCGTAGCGTTGATATCCAGCTGGGACGAAGGAAGAGGAAAAGAAAGCGGAAAGCTCGGAAGAATAAATTGTGCCCTTTTTGCAGGAGCTACAGTGTTCGCAGAAGAAATAGGAGCACGGACTTTTGTAATTTTCCTCGGCGTTATCGATAAATTGGCTCTGTCCTACTTGGACACCCAGTTGTTCCTCCTTGTTTGCGAGTTATTCCTCTCGCGGGCTCGCCCATCTCTGCTTCTCCACCCTCTCTCTCTTTCTCTTTCTCTCTCTCTATCTCCGTCTCCGTCCCTCTTTCTCGGCGGGTCTCTCGGTCTAAACGATAATGCTTCGTACGGTTCGATAGCGGGCGTCGCGACGCCCGGCAGTCTGCCACCGTTCCATTCCGTCCCGTTCCACGCTGCCAGAGCCCCGGCGACCGTTTTCGGACTCGGGGCTCTTTCTATCCACGGCGTGTCTGCGCGCGTGCTCCTAAGACGGCCCATAGGCGCCGCCTTTTCCAAATTTCCGAAGGTTCGTTAACCCGACAACGCCGAATCGATCAGGCGTGTGCCACTTTTCCGACCCCGCGCGCGAGGGGAGGGACCAGTCCCCCCCCCCCTAGATTTAGCAGTTAGATAATCTCGCGGGGTCGGCGCCACGATTTTTCGCCCCGTTTCCTCGCGATTCCGCCGAGCCGAGCCTTCCGCGCCCTTCGAGAAATCTTCGCTCCGCTCGAGATTAGATCCGATCGAAAGCTCGCATATTTCGTTGCCGGGAAAAAGGAAGCGTCGGCGTTCTTCTTCTTCGAGTTCTTCGACGTACCAGACTGTTTTAACGTAACAGATAATTGTTATTTTTAATCGTCGATGAATCGGTATCGACGATTAAAAATGACAGAGCAGGAGGACGAAACGAACTCCACGCCAATGGATCAAAGGCGCAGCAGGTATGCGTTTGGCACAACGCGCCGCTTCGAGCGCCGAACGTTGAGCCGCGCGCCATTAATTTACCGGCCGATTTGGCTCGATTGATGCTCCCAAAGCCCATAGAGAGACGGAATCCCGGATGGATTTTCGGCGAACGAATCGACCCGCGGCATCCGCTTTGCGCGATAATGAAGAAAAACCGCCGGCGATCCGCTCGCGCGGCGCGTTTCGCTCGGCCGCGTCGGTCCGGTTCGAAGATGCCCGAGCAACCAGCCACTGAGCCGCCGTTAATTGACAATTAAGCTCGTCCACGATGCGGAATTACATAGATTAGGATTGCTGAAATTCAATGGCCAGCCGGGATTTAAGCGGCGAGATGCACAACATTGGAGCCTCTCTCGATTCGCATCGCCTGGAATGGGAGCTCGAGTTAACGAGTGCCCGCTGCCGATCCGATTTTCCATCCCGGAATCTCCGTAATGAGAGATTTCGGCGAGCCTCCACTTTTCAATTCGTTCTCTTTGGTTACCAGGGCTCGTCCCCGCGTCGGACCGACGAATGTTGATCGAGAAAAGCGGGGAATTAAACCGCGAAATCGGGGAGCGCGGCGACCGGTGCGACGCGATCGCGCGTGGAACGCGCGTGTTTCATTCGGTTGCTTGGGAAAAGCTCGAAATAAGCAACGCTTTTATAGTCGCACCAAATTGACAGTATGATATTTTTCTAACGCAACTGCTTGCAGCAATTCCGATGCAATTCCTTGCATCAATTCTTCTGCAATTCCTTGCATCAATTCCGATGCATTACCTTGCGTCAATTCTTCTGCAATTCCTTGTATCAATTCTGATGTAAAACTTTTTTCGATTAATGTTATTGTAAACGATTCATTTGTCATCACCGATGACAACTGGTTTCAAAAAAGTGTCGAGAAAAGTATCATGTCTAAAACGCGTGTGGCAAACACCGATTCGTTGCGTTAATCGAATGTCTTTCGATTCACGCGGAATCCGAACACCGTGCTTCTTAAACAAGACCACCCAGGGTTCGTCAACCCTGAGTGGCGGAATCAATCGCGTCTTTATGACACTGGCGGAACGCGGGCCCGATTGATCCCGCCACCGAAACGACTGTCGCTGGTCCTCGATGTTTTTCCCATTTCCACGGTTGGTTTCTATATAGCGCGGAGAAGAACTAGAGACCGAGAGCGAGAGCAAGAGGGAGGGGTTCGGAGCAAGAGGGCGGCAGAGACGAAGCATCAAACATTTTTATTAGCTCGGTCAACTGCTGTCGACTCGCGATAGCCCATTGGCGGCGATCGGACAGAAGGATATTGGCAGTAGGTTGGACGCGGCCGACGACGGTTGTTGACGAGGGTTGGAGAAGAAAAGCCTTTTTCCGCGCGACAAAAGGCCGGCGAAGTGGCACGGGAGGGGGGCGGGTCCAATCATCGTTACGTGATCCCGACGCGACAGAGGCGAAATGGATTTTTCATATACAGAGGAGGAGGAGGAGGAGGTGGAGGAGGAGGAGACCGATCCGATAAACCCGGAGCGGTGTTTACGGGGCTGTGCGGCGAGCTTTTGCCGCGGGACGGGCGGGGGTGTCGCTCGGCGAGGAAGGGGTTGAAGGGTTCGCGGAAACGAGGAAAAGCGCGGAAAGGCCGATAACGACCGTCAACTGTGAAGAGCCGATCGATACCACCACCGTTTCGAGAGGACTACCTTGTCCCTTCTTTCCTTATCGCTTCTTTCCGCTCCCTGCTCCCCCCCTTTCAGTGCCCTCTCCCTTAAAGCCCCCTCTGTTTCCCGCAGCCACCGCCACTGCCGCCGTCCCCGCTTTCTACATCGTCTTGCTATTCACTCGATGGACGCGTCGATGATGGATGCTCCTTGAACGGCTCTTAGCATTTTTTTTCCACCGCGAACAGAGTGGAAATACCGCCATTGAACTTTATTGCTGTTCGAGTAGCCGCTGTTTCGGGGGAAACGGGGGCGGACGATGCTAATGGCTCGTCTGCAGACTCGATGAGATGCTAATCGAGGTGCACGCCTATGATTTCCTCGCGCGAATCCGGGAGACAGGGGAATGGGACCTGATTTCGGGGTCGTCGAGGACGTTGCTGAAATATGGATGCAGTGATTTCTCTGGAAAATGCCGAATTAAGGGTTGCTGTGAATTTCTCTGCGACCGTCCTAAGTGGACGATTTGGGAAGAGAAGATAATATAGAACTATACAATAACTATAAAAACGAGCCGCAAGGCTCGGGAAAATTAGGGAGAATTTAATGCTATATTGTGAACGTCGAATCGTGGCATATGGCCTCCGAATTGCCTTCGAATCGTGTCACGTGACCTCCGAATTGCTTTCGAATCGAGGCTTGAGGCCTCTGAATTGCCTTCGAATCGTGGCTTGTGGCCTCCGAATTGCCTTCGAATCGTGTCAGGTGGCCTCCAAATTGTCATATGGCTTCCGAATTGCTTTCGAATCGTGTCACGTCGTCTCCGAATTTCCTTCGAATAGTGTCACGTTGCCTCCGAATTGCCTCCGAATCGTGGCAAAGAATTAGAAATAAAATAAATAGAAATAATATGTATTTATATTAACATACACCGGCATGCTGGCAAAAATGGACGATTTGGGAGGGGGAGAACCTCCGAAGGTTTCTGGGAGAAATCACTGTATATGATAGTTTTCTAATGGTTGTCCGCGAGCAGGCCGGTTGCCAGCAAGCGTTCGTGACTGAGATTTTGACAGGTTGTAATTGGTGTTTGCTCTTAACAAGCGTTTTCCGTTTGGTTTCACAGTGTCCGGCACGGCAAACAAGAAAGAGGAAGAGACGGCGGTGGCCGCAGCCGACGTCACGGAAGAGACCACCGGTGTCCTGTCGACGAGATCTAGGACGGGCAGCGATCCTGGCGGCGGTATAGATCTCTTGGCGGCGTTACAGCTGCACAACACCACGCGGCAGGGTGTTACACAGGTGCCGGGGCTGGTTAGATTAAAGCCAGCTTACTATCTTCAGGGTGAGTCGTGTTTTTTTACGCGCCCAAGAATCGAACGAGCCGAGTTCACCGCGACGGAGAATTTCGTTCGACGACGAAGACAATTATTTTCGCGTTCGAGAACTTTTCGTGCGGCCGCACCCCCATGGGAAAATACAGAGCTCCCCATGAGTCACCGTCGACGGGATCTCGTAAATATCGTTATCCAGCCTCTTTCGAATATTTATCCCGTTCTCCCGAGAATTCCGGAAAATCGTGTCGTTCCCCAAGACGCAACAATGGTCGCGGTGGCTCACGTGACTCGCACGTGACACGCACGTGAGCCCGCGGAGGATCATCTTATCTTTTATTCAGCACCGTGCACATGTAACAAGGGTATAACACGGGGCGCTATAGTCCGATTCACAGGCCTCGCCTTTCGGACAATTTTTGCTTTGCTGAAACTGTCGTTAAATACAATAATTTTCATTCGATGCGCCGAACATATGTTTAGAGTATTCAGGCATTTTTCATCTTAAATATTATTGCTTTGAATGATAAAAAATTAGTAACTTATTAAGGTTTTTGATGAAAGCTAAATAATGTGTTTCTGAACATAATTCTGTGCCCCTTTAGGAGCTCTGCACGCGATTATGTGCTCTATATTTCCGTGCCCCACATTTTCGTGCTCTATATTTCCGTGCCCCGTATTTCTGCGCTCTATATTTCCGTGCCCCGTATTTCCGTGCTCTATATTTCCGTGCCCCACATTTCCGTGCCCCACATTTCCGTGCTTTATATTTCCGTGCCCCGTATTTCCGTGCCCCTTTAGGAGCTTTGCACGCGATTATGTGCTCTATATTTCTGTGCCCGCATTTCCGTGCTCTATATTTCCGTGCTCTATATTTTCGTGCTCTATATTTCTATGCCTCGTATTTCCGTGCCCCGTATTTCCGTGCCTCGTATTTCCGTGATAAAAATATTTATCAAATATGGTGTCCAGAATGAAATTCGGCGTTTTTTACCGGACTAGGGAGCTAAATCATTCGCGGACGTACGCCCCCGCGTGCCGGTTGCGTGCTCGTTGTACGCGATGCGGTAAATCCACGGTCGAGGAGCCGAGTCGAAACCACTTCGGGACTGGCTTCTCTTAACCCGAATACTGGCTGATTTGCATAGCGGAGGGTCGTTTCGTAGCGCGTCGAGGCAATCTCCCCCCTCCGGCAATCACTGCAAGCCGTAAAGTCGATTATTGCTTTTCGTAAATCACGGCCATGCTTCCTGTCTCTTCTCGCTAGAAATTAAAGTGCCGATGGAAACGCCGAAAAGCTGAATATTCTGACAAGTCGTCCGCTCTCCGGATAGAGATTTATTTGCGGCGGCAAAGATCCTCGTTCTTTCAAAAATGTTCGTTTGTTCTCGATTCGGCATCGCCATTTATCAGTTGAAAGTAATTGCCGATTAATTAATTAATCAACGTATTAACCATCGAAAGAACACGGAGTGCCAACCCTACAGAGGGTCCAAAAAAATTACGATACTTCCAGGAAGTGAGGGATTCCTGAGATCATTCGAAGCAACTTTCTCCTTTGCGAAAATACGATCCGCAGCTTCGTTTGCGAGTTATTAACGAAAAACAGCGACCAATGAGAGGCGAGCGCGCCTGACGCTCCGCCTTCGCGTCCACTGTCGCTGCACTCGCTCACCGATTGGCCAATGTTTTTCGTTAATAACTCTTAAACGAAGCCACGGATTGCATTTTCGCAAAGGAAAAAGTTACTTAAAATGATCTCAGGAAACCCTAATTTCCCGGAAGCACCATAATTTTCGGGTATCCTGTACTAAAGGACTGGCAAGATAATAAAATGAACGCAAAATACAGAAACATTATCTTTTATCTTCATTTTCACGATGTTTATAATTAATATTAAAATAATATAAAAATAATACTAACTACTGACGGGAACTGCATTTAACATTCGTAACATCGTTTACACAGCTTAGAAATCAAATGCAATCCAGAGTGATAGGCCGAGAGTTAAAGAATTCGTTGTCCAATAAATGGATTTTTCGATCAATTCCGAAAAGAACTGGAGCGAGAACGGCGGCAGGATTGCCTCGGTTTTACGGCGGCGGATAATGCAGCGATTAAATTTTTGGGACGCTCTGCGACCTCCCGAGTGCAGCAGAATTGAACCATTGACCGCGATCTTGATAACCGTTATCAGCGCCGGCCCGCGGAGCGGACGAACGGGAGCGATAAACTGGAAAAACAATGGGCGCTTATCAGTCGGTGTCCGATGGTTACGTAACGAGCGATTAATCGATATTGCGAAAGGTCAGTTTCGCAGCCCGACGGCGTTTCTTCGTCCGCGGAACTCCGGCGGGAATTCCCCCTGGTACGTGTCGCGAGTATCATGCGACGACGAGTGGCGACAATGATCACGAATACTGCGCTTCAATTACTGTGCTCCGTTTACTATGCTTCAATTATTGTACTCCAATTACTGGGCTCCAATCACTGTGCTCCAAATACCAGGCTTCAGTTACTGTGCTTCGGTTACTGTGCTCCAATTACTATGCTTCAATTATTGTACTCTAATTACTGTGCTCTAATCACTGTGCTCCAAATACGATGCTTTAATTACTATCCTTCAATTATTGTGCTCCAATTACTATGTTTCAATTATTGTATTCCAATTACTGGGCTCCAATCACTGTGCTCCAAATACTATGCTTCAATTATTGTACTCTAATTACTGGGCTCCAATCACAGTGCTCCAAATGCCATGATTCAATTATTGCATTCCAATTGCTATGCTTCAATTACTAAGCTCCAATCACAGTGCTCCAAATACCATGATTCAATTACTGCACTCCAATTGCTATGCTTCAATTACTGTGCTCAAATTACTGTGCATCAATTACTCTGCTCCAAGTACCATGCTTCAATTATTGTACCCCAATTACAGTGCTTCGATCACTGTTCTCCAATCGCTATGCTTCGATCACTGTGCCCCAATTACCGTGCTCCCCTCCCGAATACCGAGCCTCGATAACAGACCGCAACGAAAACTATAAACAATTAACATACTTCGATAAATTATATTTTTAGTAATTACAATACCTTATTTAAAAGCTTTCGTTGCTCGCTTTCAGTATTCTTACCCCGCGCGCCCCTGAGATCATTAAGTCCCCCGCGGAATCACCTGTGGAGTGCCGTGGCGCGCTCGTTCGTAACGCGACACCCGGTATATATCGGTGGAAACATGCTCGATTAGCGTTCGAGCACGGCCGATAGAGTTTCGTCGCATGATAACCGGGGCCCGTGCTGCAGCCCCGGCGTCATTTGTTGTTCAATTAGCCGACGTGCCCCGGCTAAGGGAAATGAATTTTTCGGTTCGGCCCGACACGGTGTTCGGTGCGTGTCGATCGCCCAGCGAGCCGTGTGATCCGGTCCCGTGCAAACGATCGGCGGCCTGCCGCCCGCTGCACCCTCCTCGCGCGCCGCTTGCAGCTAAAGTGCAGCGGCGAGCGAGCACATGCCGCTCGATTGGTTGGCTTCGCGCGCGCGGGCCCGCCGGCTGCGCCCGCCTCGAGTTTCAGTTTCAGACGCGCCACGGGAACTTAATAAAGTAACCGGAGACCGGCGTTCGGCGCGTAATAAACGCGCGCGAGGACCCGCCAGTCCCCGAGTCCGATCAATCGGACGCGGTTCGCATATGAGTTTGCCAGCCAACGAACACCGGTGAAAGCGGCTCGCTTTTACCACCGCTAACGACGAAATTAACTCGAGCCGGCCGGCCGTTTCTGCGAAAAATCGATGCCGCGTTGCTGCTGTTTATTCAATGAACGAGGTCGCCGTTTAGGCGGAACGCTTCCAGCCGTACGTGCTGGAGTAGCTTCCTCTTTCATCGAAATCCCGAAGCCCGAGGGAGAGACTCGTCCGCGAACGGCGACCTGCGATAATGTCTCCCATACTGACGCTCAGATTGTCCACAAAAATGGACAAATGGACGCACGTGACCTATTCTCCCGCAAACGCTCCGTTCTCCGACACAAAAATCCGACCACGCGACACGGCTTTCGTCTGTCTCTTATACACATCTAGATGTGTATAAGAGACAGATTCTCCCGCAAACGCTCCGTTCTCCGACACAAAAATCCGACCACGCGACACGGCTTTCGTAATACAGTAATGTCTCCCTATAATTGTCGCATAAAATGTGCAGAAGAATTGACAATTTGGGGAGAGGAGATACGATTATCCGAGCCTTGCGGCTCGTTTTTATAATTGTGGAGAATTTATAACTATAAAAATAAACCGAAAGGTTCGACTAATTGTATCTCTTCTGCCCAAATTGTCCATTTGTAATGTCTCCCATACTGACGCTCAGATTGTCCACAAAAGTGGACAAATGGAGAAAAATGGACGCACGTGACCTATTCTCCCGCAAACGATCCGTTCTCCGACACAAAAATCCGACCACGCGACACGGCGTTCGCAATACAGTAATGTCTCCCTAACTGTCGCCTAAAATGTGCAAAAAATGGAGAATTTGGGAAGAGGAGATACTTTATATTATTAATAATAATTTATAGCTATAGAAACAAACCGAAAGGCTCGGATAATCGTATCTCCTCTTCCCGAATTGTCCACTTTTGTGGACAATATGAGCGTCAGTAAGGGAGACATTACCGTAGCTTCGAACTGGTTCGAAGAAAGAAAACCGGCTTCGAACGGGTCCAGTAAGCGCCGCGGTCTGCGGCGATCTATAATTCAAAGGTTAGCGAAGCGACGCACGCGAAGTGAAAGTTCGCCGGCGGGAACATCAATGGGGAAACGGTTGGAAGTTTCGGAACGGAGGAAAGTTTTCCATGAGCCACCCTCGGCATTAATTTAGCATCCGGGAAGACGAGGCCGAGGCGAAAGTTGGCCCGCTTCAGAAATAAATAACGCGGAGATTAAATCAGCCACGACCCCTGGGGGTCACCCCTGGGGCTGGGGAGACAGCGCCCAAGGGGGTCACCCAATTCCGGGACCGGCGTTCCCCGGCTGCCCGACAAAAGGGGGATCGCGGAATCTTGTTTTCCGTGTTCCCGAGAAAACTCGGACACGTGGCGGCTCTCCAGCGTTCGCCGGCTTTGTTCGCCGATTACAATGGGGGTCCCCTCGTCCGCGGCTCTTCTCCCAATCCGAATCGAGTTTCCCTTCGCCGCGTCACGCCGCACAGCGGTATAAATGCTCGAAATCGTGGTCAGAATAAGAAATAGCGACGGATTTATTCGAAAATTTGTGTGCAAGGGTTTTCATGGTCGCTGATTACGAATCTGAATTGAAAAATTCCAAAAGCAAAATGGCGGATGGGTTGTTGTACAATTGGGAAATCAGGAATAAAAGACGACGGAAACCTCTCGCTTCTTTTGTCGTTGTTTGGTCAGTTTTCGAAACGTTCTTCTTCTTTGAAAAGTGCTTCGGGGCTCGCGTTAAATGCAGTTAACCCTTTGCACTCGAAGCCATTTTAACTGTAAATCTAAATGAACATTTCTGACTCGTAGTATTCCCATTTTATACGACAAAGCGCGTTTCATCCGTATGAAATTGAATCTTGCGACGCATACAACACTCGGACTGTTAATAATTTTGTTCATATCCAAGCTTTGATGATATAAAAATTATCCTGGAACGTGACGTAACAATTTTAGCGGTGCCTCGGAGTCACCGCTCGCGTTAAATGCAGTTCAACCTGTGAACTTTGGCTCAGCCGGTCGCCGGGAAGCGATAAAACGGGGCCCGAATTCGGTCTCGGAAACGGCGCCGCCGCGGTTTGCCAGGAGAAACCGGCGTAACAGTTCGCTGGAACAATACCAAAAACGATTCCGGAGAGACAGGGGAACCGGACGAAGCGGCGGGGGAGAGAGAAAAAAACGTTGCCCGCGGGCAACGTGGTTGCAAACCGCGGAAGACGGTTCCGCGAATTCGTGGCGCGCGTGGGGAGGGTGCAGCAGCGCGAGGCGAGGGTGGCGAGCCCCGGTAATTGAAATTTCTTTCGGGGAAGGCCACCCTTGGCCCGAGCAACCCCCGGCACGGCGGCTCGCGCTCGCTTTTCGCGGACGTTGCACCGTCCTCGTCGTCGCCCACGCTTTCAGCCCCGACCGGCTGCGCGGTTCTCTAATACCGATCCGTCGCTCTAGAGGCGAGACGAAGGGGCATGCCGAGGCGACGCATATGGGGGACGACGAGCCGCTGCTGGTTGCCGCACGAGTGGCTACGAACGTTTACGCAGCGCCAAGAGTAATTGGACACGCGATATTACGCGGCGAATCGAAACCGAGAGCAAATATCGAGGCGTCGATGGTTTGTCGCAATTTGTCGAGTGCCGATGGGGTTGCCCGTGGTCGAGGGGGCTCTTCAGGCTCGGTTTACAGGGAACGGGACGGTTCACGCTTTCGTCGAGAACGAGGGAAAACGGCGACCTTATGCTATTTTTCGGGATTCCAGTTGTTCCCCTCTCTTTTGGAACGGTTCCCAATTTCTGGAACGCCGAAACCGCGACGGCAAAAGAGAACACAGCTTCTTGGCGAAAGAAAATGTCCGCTCCGATGGAAAATGTCTGCTCTCCTGGGTTCCGGGCGATTTAGCATTCAATTTTGGTAATCTCGTTCCATTTCCTCGCGAAATTGAATCTCGAGGGTAGAGGGGGAATCTCCAGACAGATATAGTTATGTCTCCCTAACTGACGCTAAGATTGTTCACAGAAATGGACAATTTGGGAAGAAGAGATACGATTGTTCGAGCCTTGTAGCTCGTTTTTATAGTTATTGACAATTCGTGACCATAAAAATGAACTGTATGGATCGAGAATAATCGTATCTCCTCTTCCCAAATTGTCCATTTTTCTGCACAATCTGAGCGTCAGTTGGAGAGACATTAATGTAGTCAGTTAGGGAGACATTACTGTACAGGGAATATATTTCTATAGCAACGCAAACGTGTCGACCACCAAAACTGAACACAAAAAAGAATAATAACCTTAACAAAAGAACGACGATGCTACTTTCTTGCCAAGATAATACATTCCGCGCGGTACGATATGCACAGCGGTGAAAATTCCGCCCCAAAATCCGAACGAATTCCCCGAATTACCGCCATTCTCTGGCTTAGCATAATCATTGGATCGTTTGTCAGAGAGCACCGTACGCGCACGATCGCCTGTTCACGATCCAAATTCGACGGGATTGCGGAGCCTCCGATGCAAAAAAGAGCTCTCGGTTCGTTGGATCGAATTCGAGCGGACGAGTCGGCGACCACGGCCAATCGAATTTCCATGTGAACGTGATTGCGTAGCCGGGAGAGCGGGCGACTGCNTAGCATTCAATTTTGGTAATCTCGTTCCATTTCCTCGCGAAATTGAATCTCGAGGGTAGAGGGGGAATCTCCAGACAGATATAGTTATGTCTCCCTAACTGACGCTAAGATTGTTCACAGAAATGGACAATTTGGGAAGAAGAGATACGATTGTTCGAGCCTTGTAGCTCGTTTTTATAGTTATTGACAATTCGTGACCATAAAAATGAACTGTATGGATCGAGAATAATCGTATCTCCTCTTCCCAAATTGTCCATTTTTCTGCACAATCTGAGCGTCAGTTGGAGAGACATTAATGTAGTCAGTTAGGGAGACATTACTGTACAGGGAATATATTTCTATAGCAACGCAAACGTGTCGACCACCAAAACTGAACACAAAAAAGAATAATAACCTTAACAAAAGAACGACGATGCTACTTTCTTGCCAAGATAATACATTCCGCGCGGTACGATATGCACAGCGGTGAAAATTCCGCCCCAAAATCCGAACGAATTCCCCGAATTACCGCCATTCTCTGGCTTAGCATAATCATTGGATCGTTTGTCAGAGAGCACCGTACGCGCACGATCGCCTGTTCACGATCCAAATTCGACGGGATTGCGGAGCCTCCGATGCAAAAAAGAGCTCTCGGTTCGTTGGATCGAATTCGAGCGGACGAGTCGGCGACCACGGCCAATCGAATTTCCATGTGAACGTGATTGCGTAGCCGGGAGAGCGGGCGACTGCGAAGATCGATGCGAGCCGAGAAAAATTTCGGCTGACCCAGATCGCCGAGCCCCTTTTTCGCTCGCAAACGTTCCCGAAAAAAAGCGCGGAAGCTCGCCGTCGTCGGCGGCGAGTCGAAAGCCGCCGCAGCGGAGGCGCCGCGTCGGTCGCACATGAATGGCACTAATTTTTTCATCAATTCTGAACATTCATTTTCACTATAGTATATTCCAAAGAACCGAATTTAACTAGGATGTCTCGCCGTGACAAATTTTTGGCTCTCGAGTTTCGCTTCGATCGACGAAATTGCATCGACTTCGCGGGAATTTCAGCGGTCGATCGCCGGCGCCGGACGCGTTAAAAGCGAAGGTCTCCGCGTAAAACCGTCGACGACGAATACCCCGATCGTAGCCGACGGTGGTTCCGCCGTCGATTTTCCGCGTCGGAGCCACCGGCGAGCTATGCCACCCCCGGAACAATCGATGCTATTCGCAGCGAGCCGCTCGGAACACGGTCGAACAATCCGCGGCAGCCGGATAGTTCCGGCGTAATATGATTATTAGCGCGCCAGGATCGAGCGGAACGCAGAAATGATCGAGTTTTACTACTGCAGGCGAGGAGAGGGAGCTCCGACTGAACGAGGCGAGCTTCGAACGAGCGGCCACACTACTCCGGCGGGTTCCGGAATTCACTATAGCCGCCGCTCTGCGACAGGAGGAGGCCAATTCCGGGACGATCGTCGCCTTTTCACATGGGAACAATAGGTAGGACCTGTTATTTCATCACACGATCCCACCCTCCCCTCCCACACGATCAACCCTTGCGCCCCAGCTCGCTGAAATTCGAAGCTGTGTCCGCGCCGCGGCCACGAAAACGGCGATCCAAAGACAATGGATTCTCGGAAAATGCTCGTTCTCGATCATTGATGCTCGGATTCTCCGCTAAAATCGTTTATTTTGGAAGAGGGGACGCAATTATAATTTTTAACTATAATAATAATTATTAATTATATATATTATTATAATTAATTAATATTTTATTATAATATTATTATAATTATTATTAATTATAATATATTATAGTAATTAATATATATCGTATCAATATTAATATTAATATACATAATATTATGTTATATTATATATGTATATTAATATTAATATATATAATAGGAATATTACATAATTAAGTATTAGTATTATATTATAATATAATAACGTATTATAATATTATATTATAATATTATATTTATTATTACATTTATATTATATCATTTTATTATAATACAACATTAATATCATATATATATAATAATTAATTATATAATATTAATACATTGATAATAATTACAATTTCATTTTATTCCACATTTGTATACTTGTCGACAATCGATAACCATAAAAAACGCGCCGCATAACAATCGCATCACCTCTTCCCAAAAATAGTGCACTTTCGTGTACAATCATTTTCTATACAATTCGAGGGTCAACGTGGCTCGGGTCAATGTCAACCTTGACGACGACTGTTTCGCCCTCGATCGGACGTCTTCCAGCCGTGCAGAAATGGAGGGTGAGGTCGATTCCGGCGTGTGTTGTAGATGGCCGCCGCGGCAACCGGCCGCAACGGCGGCGGACTGAAAATGGTAGAAAAGCCGGTCTTAAAGAAGTTACTGTGTCAATTGTTGAGCCGTGACGGTGGTGGAGTGCTCTTAACCTGAAAGTAGCCGCAGCCTCTGTTGGCAGCACGCGAGGCGCGCAGTCTAGTCGTTTTGACCCGGCCTGACACAAATTGGACGCGCGGCGCCTACGTGTCCGTCCGCGTTACACGGTAATTAACACGCTCCGCGGAGCGGAAATCGCGGACCGGAAAAGCCGGAATTTTGGCGTTTGCATTCGGCAACGGGGACCGGCCGGCCGGATCCGACGAGATCCCGTGGAATTCCGCGGAACGGAATCGATCACGACCTTTCGCGCGAGCCGGCTAAACGAATTCCAGAACGATGCCTCAATGTCGCCGATTGAGAACGTCCGCGCGACTCCGCCTCGCGATCGATCGGCGAACCGGGAAACGAAAATCGTTAGTCGCACACGCGACCACCCATTTCTCCCTCCATCCCCCCCCGCCACATACACACCCGATTCGATCCTGTCATCTATTTATTGCGCTCGCGTGTTTCAATTAACACCGATGCCCATCGATCCTCGTTGTTCGACTTACGGCCGTGATTTTAATCGTTCGATCGAACGGCATCGAGCTGATTGAAAACGTCGAGGCGAAACGTGCGAAACGATCGCGTTCGACGTCGCGATGCCACGCCCACCTCGGTCTTATTGGGCGGCGCGGCGATTGCCACGCCCGCTGCCCCCCTCTCCGCGCACTCACGGTGCAGTGGGCGGTCCGATGGGCGTGGCTTCGCGCGTTCGGACAGTGACCTTCGACGCTGGAACGTCAAGGTTGACACTCTCGTGTCCTTTGGATCGGTTATGTTCGTCGACGGATTCTTAGGGATGCAGAAAATTCTCCCTAATTCGCGCGCAGATTCTGCGCGAAAGTGGATGATTTGGGAAGAGGAGTTGCGATTATAATTATTAATTGGAGTTATATATTATAGTAATTAATGTATATATAATACTAATATTAATATATAATTAATGTACATAATATTAATGGTACTATATTACTAATATATATAATATTAATATTAATATAAAATTAATATATATATTAATATTGCGTAATTAATTATTAATATCTTTATATAGTAATATTAATATTTTATTATAATATAATAATATATCATAGTATATTATACGACGAGATTAGCCAGAGTGCTTCCGACTGAACCGTTCGTTTGCGTCCGACAGATATTTGGAGCTGCAGAGCAGCGGTCGCAAAGACGAGCTTCGACTTCACTACGTGTCACGCCGTGACGGCACAGTCCACGTGGAGGCGTTTCCTTTCCGTTTGGCGGACGGGGCCTGGCACAGGGTCGCCCTGAGCGTTAGCGGCTCGCAGGTCGAGCTGCTGGTCGACTGTCACCCGTTGTACAGGCGGCTGCTCAGGCCTGGACCGCCGGACACCAACTTCACCCTGCCGCAGCTACAGCTCTGGGTGGGGCAGAGAAACGCCAGACACTTTCTCTTCAAGGTACGGCGATCGCGTTTCACCGGTCCACGTAGCGTTCGAGCGGGACTAGTATTGACATGGTTTTCGCGCCGCAGGGTGCTTTGCAGGACGTGAAGCTGATCCCCGGCCCCCATGGCTATCTATCGCAGTGCCCCCAGCTCGACTCGTCCTGTCCCACCTGCGGTCAATTTTCTATATTACAAAACACGGTGGAACAGCTGATGGATAACCTGAACGAGCTGACGCGGAGGGTGAGTGGACGCGTTTCGCGGATGCGTTTTTTTTTTTGAGCGTTTATTCGAGTCTCGAGTAGCAGTCGATTTATTCGGGTCGGGTTGCGATCGATCTTTTAAGGCGAATCGAATCGTCGGGGTAATTTTATTTTACTTTAATTTCGTTAATGAAACGCCTCGATTCAATTGGAGCGTCGTGTTGGATCGTTTATTTATTTTGAAAGCGATGTAAGTCCATTTTTTTTAATGAGGTATCACATGGTTTGCGATTAATTTTAGGGTAATGTTTTTATTTGTAATTAAAGAGAAATGGTAATGCGCCAAAATAAACGGTCCGATATAGTACTTGACGGTAATTCATACAATACATTATGCAAATAGTCGAGCACTTCGAGTACAGGAATATTTTTCAGCTGAAAATTCATCTTCAAGTACTTGGAACTTTCATGAGCGCTCGAGTACTCGGGCAATCGAGCTTGGCTCGGCTCGTGAATAGGCATTACATTATTTTCGGGATAAATACACTTTAGAATCGAAGATTTTGTTTATATTATTGAAATTTGTGAGTTTCGTTAATTTTTGTAAGAACAGAATGTTTAAAGGAAAATTTTGCGGTATTTATTTTATATTTTCGATATAAATTATACCGTGTTTATTTATACTGATAATTTAGCTTAATTTAATTTAGCTATACTGATAATTTATACTTTATTTAGCTAAAAGAAACAGAGTAAGCAATATAACAAAATTCTGTGTCAGAATTACAGTAGTTTCGTCTATTTTTGAAATATATATTTAATTTAGATTAATTGACTAGACCATTAATTTTAAAGTCGAATAAAATTATAATAAATTTCTGATTAAACGATCTCGGGGCTCATTGACGTCCTTCCTTTTAGCTAGCCGCTGCAGAGGGCAGGATAAGCAAAGTGGAGGAGTGCGAGTGCCAAAAGTCTTGCAGGGCCAACGGCACCGTCCACGAAGACGGCGCCACGTGGGAGAAGGGCTGCCAGCAGTGTTCCTGCGTCCACGGCGAAATCGAGTGCAGGCCTACGCCCTGCGCCCCGGTCACTTGCAAGCATCCCGTCCTTCCTCAGGGACAGTGCTGTCCCATCTGCTTGAGTAAGACCCTTCGATCTCCATCCAGCTAGCCCACGGTCATTCGCAGATCATCCGTCTTAACGCGTTTCTCCGCAGAGCAATGTTACTTGCGCGGTGTGATCTATGACCACGGTGAAAAAGTCTCGCCGAAACAGTGCGTCGAGTGCGACTGTTTCGACGGCAGTTTCACCTGTCAGAGGTTCGACACGGAGACCAGATGTCCACCACTGCCTTGTCCGCCTAGCGAACAGATTAGCGTGGCCGAGGAGTGTTGCAAGTTCTGTCCAGGTATGTTCGACGCACAGGACCGGCCCGGGATCCTCCGATCGCTGCTGTAATAGTCGCCTTTGCTAAATCATCTTAACTCGCATGTAAATAGAGTGGGCAACGAGAGTATTCGAACGCTAGTATAACTTTGAATATATACAGGATGTACCAAAATTATGGTATTTCCGGGAGATGATGGGTTCCTGAGGTCATTTGGAGCAACTTTTTCCTTTACAAAAATTTTCTACGAGGTATCGTTTACGAGTTATCGACGAAAAACCACTGGCCAATGAGAGGCGAGCTCGGCAGCCGCGCGGCGGCTAGGTCCACGAGCGCGCGAGGCCCAGTTCCGCTCATTGGCTCGGCCCTCTAGCGCCAAGCGAGCTCGCCACGCCTCGCTGACCTCATTGGTCAGCGTTTTTCGTTGATAATTCGTTAACGATACATAGGAGAACATTTTTGTAAAGGAAAAAGTTGCTCCGAATGACTTCAGGAATCTCTCATTTTCCGGGAATACCATTATTTTGGGATACTCTGTTTATATAGTTGAATAAATATACATTGAAGGGAAATAATACTTTACGGTATAATAAATTAAAGTGTATAATGAGAAAATACAACAAATTTTCGATTTTGTGAAACTTCTTCAATTACGTAGAGACCATTTTACCCAAAATCGAAAGTCCCTTGCATTTTCACATTTATATACACTACTTTAATATACCATAAAGCATTATTTCCCTTCAATATATATATTTATTTAAATATATGCCGTAGAAAGTCAAAGTTATACCAACGATCGAATACTTTAATTACCCACTGTATCAATTAACCCGCCGAGCAACCGTCGCCGACGGCCTCCCCCGAACGTTCAAACGTTCGCCGAGGTTCCGTCGTTAACGATTGCTCCAGCTGCCATCGCAAACAACGTGCAAGTACGCGAACAAGCACAGTAATGTCTCCCTAATTGACGCTCAGATTGTCCAGAAAAATGATCAATCTAGGAAGAGGAGACACGATTATTGCGCCTCGTTTTTACAGTTGTTGAGAATCGGTAAAGAATTGCCGCAAGAAAAGAAAGCTGCAAGGCTCGAATAATCGTAACTCCACTTCCCAAATTGTCCATTTCTCTGCACAATCTGAGCGTCAGTTAGGGAGACATTACTGTACCGCTGTAAAATCGTCTCGCGATTCACTCGCACCGTCGCGACGCGACTCGTCGCGTCTGCGATTTAATAAACATTAGCATGTCCGATTAACGCGAAATCAACCATGAACGATCCAATCGGCCGGCGGGCGTAGTCCCGACCGAGCCTAGCACGCTAATCGAATGTTCTAACCGTCTCTTCATCTGCCTGGCTAACCAAACTTAACACCAGGGGTGGACTACTGCGCGAAGGGCCACAAGTGTCATGCTAACGCGTCCTGCCTGAACCTCCAGACCACCTACGCCTGCCACTGCGATATCGGTTTCCAGGGGGATGGTCATAACTGTCACGGTATCTAATGCTTTTCCTAACTTTTAAACCGTATTAACCTTCGTTGTCCTGCTGGAAGCGCGAGCTTCGCCGCGCCGCGCCGCGTCGGGTCGGATCGGGTCGATGGGAAATTCCTGCCCCGGACACGTGCAATTTCCGATCGACCCGGCCGCGTGAAATATTTAAAGGACGACGTGTTAACACGTGGAGAACGTGAGCCGCGCCGTTCCACCGTTCTTCGATTGCGGAACCATAACCGTCGACCGGTCGCGGATGATCGCCGGTTCGTCGAGCGGCCGGGAGGACCGCGCGGCTCCCGGTTCACAACGATCTCCCCGTTGTTAACGACTCGCGTCGATAGCCGACGATTCCTGGAGTCGTTCCCGACGATTCCTAGAATCGTTGCCGACGTCGTATCGCCCGTCGTCGTCGCCGACGGGTCCCCGGCCGGCCGAGATATGACCGACGTTTCTGCATCAGCAGATGTGGACGAGTGCGCGCAGCAAGGCGGCTCCGAGGGCCATCACTGCAACGCGAACACCAAGTGCGTGAACGTGATCGGCTCGTACACGTGCGAGTGTCTTCCGGGTTACCACAGAGTCGACAAGTTCAACTGCGCCGAACTGGACGAGTGCGCGACCGGCCATCACGCCTGCGACGAGCACGCGACCTGCGTCAACACGGCCGGCAGCTATTATTGCGTGTGCAAGGAGGGATACACCGGCGACGGATACACCTGCAAACGTAGAGTACCCGATTTTATGGCGAGAGCGAACCGCGGTTCGCTACGCGGCGTTTTCGAGAGCGATTTGAACGTCGACGAACGCTCGAGAAGTTCTTTGAATCGAGTCAAAATGGACAATTTGGGAGGAGCAGATACGATTTTAAGTTTTAATTGTAATTATATATTGTTATAATTAATATGTATGGTGTTAATATTGATATATAATTGATAATGTGATCAGTGAATAATTGATAATATAATTAATATATATATATATATATAATATTAATATTAATATATAATGAATAATATAATCAATAAATAATTGATAATATATTTTATATATATAATATTAATATGAATATATAATTAATAAATATAATCAATGAATAATTGATAATATAATTAATATATATAATATTAATATTAATATACAACTAATAATTAATAATATAATATTAATATCTTACTAATAATTATAATTTTTCTTTCATTATACGTTTTTATAATTATTGCCACTCGATAACCATAAAAAACATGCTGCTCTCCTGCTCGCAAATTGTCCATTTTCGTGCCCAATTTCAGCTTAAATTAGAGCGTAATTACCGTCGTCTTGAGCCTCGCACAGTGTAGCACCCTTCGCCTCAAAAACTGGTCACAGATGCCTTTGATGCTCGGTTTACCCACTGAACCAATTTTTAGCCAGTATTTCAGGCGAAACGGTCGACAGTGCTATATCGAGTCGACGAAATCAGCCTCGCGAGACCCTCGTACTGATCTCTGCTCGGTTCTTTCGTGGTCCAGCCGTCTGCAATCAGACCTGCCAGAACGGCGGCGAGTGCGTGGCACCGGGCCGGTGTTCCTGTCGCCGTGGCTACATCGGGAACAGCTGCGAGCTGGACCTCGACGAGTGCGCGAGCGACCTTCACCGGTGCCACCAGTCCTCGACCTGCTTCAACATGCCCGGCTGGTACTACTGTCGCTGCAAGCCCGGCTACAGGAGCGCCCTCCACGACAGCACCCAAGGCACCCAGTGCCTGGACATCGACGAGTGCAACGACCAGACGATCGAGAGGAGGCACACGTGCCATCCGAGCGCGAAGTGCGCGAACACCGAGGGTGGCTACCAGTGCATCTGCCCGCTGCAGGAGGACAATCGCACCGCGGAGGAGTGCAGGCTGAGTACGCGTGTCCGATTGTTACTTCGACGATCTTCGATCGCGAATGAATTTCACGAGATTTTTCCGAAATCCCGCAGGTTGCTGGTTCGAGGAGAGGGAGGTGGAGAACGGGGAGACCCTGGCGCCAGCCGGGAACCCTTGCAGAAGGTGCACGTGCAAGGACGGCGTGATCGCGTGCAGAGACCCCGTCTGCGACTGCAGCGCCCCCGGAAGCCGCAGGGACAAATGCTGTCCCCAGTGCGACCCAGCAGCCTCTTGCAGGCATCAGGAGCTCCATCATCTGGTCTTCAGGAGCGGCGAGCGATGGATATACCAATGCCAGACCTGCGAATGCCTGGTAATGACGACGGTCGGGTCGGCGTGGTTGCCGATCGCCTAATTCCTAGTACAGTAATGTCTCTCTGATTGACGCTCTAAATGACGCTCAGATTGTCCACAGAAATGGACAATTCGGGAAGAGGAGATACGATTATTCGAGTCTTGAAGCTCGTTCTTTATAATTGTTGACAATCGGTAATTATAAAAACGAGGCGCAAGGCGCAAATTAATCGTATCTCCTCTTCCCGAATTGTCCACTTTTGTGGACAATCTGAGCGTCGGTAAGGGAGACATTACTGTATCGGGTGCGCAGAAAAGTAATTTCGGTATTTCGATGTGAAAGGAAACTCGATTTTTTTTCTATAAAAGAAATGAAGTTGAATCGTCCTTGTTAATGGACGAATTGTTCGCAGTACGGCGAAATAGACTGTTGGCAAATGGAATGTCCGCCGGTGACCTGTTCGAACCCGGTCACCGAAGACGGCGACTGTTGTCCCCGCTGCGAGGACGACCCTTGCGCGCGTGAACCCTCCGGGAACGGCACCACCCTCTCGACCCTGACGCGACCCAGGCCCTGCAGCTACTCGGGGATCATCCACGACAGCGGCAGCTCCTGGCAGGACCCCCATGACAAATGCACGACGTGCGAGTGCAAGGTAAGGAAGATGTCCGGCCACGAACACAGCGAAGGACCGAGGAAATCGTCGGTCCTTTAACCGTACAAGGCCCGCAGGATAGGATAGGGGGGTTCGTGTGAGAAGAGGGGCGAGCAATCGAGGAAAATCGATGGCCCGGACGAACGCGGAGCACGCCCAAGAGAGGCGCGTCCACTTCTAACCGAGCCACCGTGTAGACGGTTCGCTCGGAAACGAGCGGTAGCCGCTTAGGGGGCGCAGCCGGAGGGTCGCAGTCCGCGATGGACGCCGCCATGACAGCTCTCGCGCGTCATCTAGCGACTTACAGTGTTAAACCAGCGCCTATCGTTCAGCTTCCGCTAGGTTGCGCTTGCTGCCTCTGCCGGCTTTCTGTGCCAGATCCGCTCCGGGCTCCTTTGCATCCCCTTCGATCATAGTTTCCCGTAGAACCCCCTCTCTTCTGTAGCGACCCCTGCGAGTAATATAATTCGGTTTCATATCAAGACAAATTATAGTCTATTAATCTTGTAAGCGTTCGCGTTGGGAAACTATGATCCGAAAAGGGTGCAGAACGCGGGGTGGTTCTCCCTCGGGTAACGTCTCGGCCAGGATTTTCCTCGAGCCCGCCCTCTTTTCGCGCGAAGTCAAGAGCTCAAGGTCAGTAAATGAAACGTAAATGTCGCCTTTAAGTTTAGACGTGGATCTGTCATGTGTCTCTAATCAGTTGCGCTCACTGTTGATTCTGTCGAGATTAAACGACCAAGTTGCTGTGCGGCAGGCGTCCATTCGAAATACATTATTATATACACCACACACGTGGCAGATTAACAATTGCGTGTTCATTGTATTTTCTCACTCTCTCTCTCTCTCTCTCTCTCTCTCTCTACGCCTTTTCTTCTCCAATGTACTCTCTCTCTCTCTCTCTCTCTCCTCCAATGTTACATGCTTACCCAATCGCAATTAATACAAGATCGCTCAGTTTAATATCGCTTTACCTTCGATGCATGTACAGTCCTAAGTATATTATATTATCTCTGTGTAAATATTTTGGTGTCTACTTACGTGCCAAAAATATTTAACGAAGACCCGTCGACGCCGTTCACTGCGTGAAAGCTCCCGGAACGGACTCTCTACGCTTCGTCGATGTACAGTGATCGTTTGCGCAAATATGTACTAATCTTATTCGAGAGAGTCGCTTGTTAAAGTGCAGGCATGTGCCGCTGCTGTTGTACGTTTATTTTTTGAACAGCCGGGAATCACGTTCACAGCTTTCGGAGAAAGTTTCCGAGAAATCTCTCGGATACCTTGCGAAACAGGATAAGTCGTTTTGGTCTGCCACGTGTCTAAAAGTCACACACACTAGCATATATACCTTTTCGTTTCTTTCCCCTCTCTCTCTCTCTCTCTCTCTCTCTCTCTCTCTCTCTCTTTGTCTCTTTATCTCTATCTCTCTATCTCTCTGTCTATCCATTTTTATCGCTCTCGTTTAATTTGCCGTGTCAGTAGGCAACCCTCGTATAATACAAGGTACCTATATACTGATTGTACTTTGTTTCTAGTATGCCATTCATTTCTGCGATGTGTACAACTCTCGAGTCAACTGTGCAAAGCTAAACGCTATGATCTGATCTATAAAACGCGCCGAGAGAAATCCATTCGATCCATGGAATCTTGATTCAGTGCAGATCCACTTCGAACAAACCTCTCTGATGACTGCGGATCCTAGCGCGCGCTCTCATTTTTTTAGCACTGCAAAAGCAGAGATACGTTTTCTTTCGTAGACGAACAGGATCCGCGGCTCAGATCCGAGTCCGTAGCGGATCGGTGGATGTTCCAAAAGTAATTCAAAAGAAGCATCGTCGGGCCCCGAACAATGAACTCGCCAAGGCGCGCGGTTGATCGTTCGAGGCCCGGTTCTCTCGGCGCTAGCTACCGTTGCGTCGTGCTAGTCTTGTCATTATGCGACCTTAAGCTGTAACCATCACTTGTAAATTACTCCAAGATCTCTGTCGCGCGACACCAGCGTCCAAGACCCGTCCAGGGGCGTCCCTAAGTTAGCCTTCGATTAGATATGTGTACTGTTTCTTTGTCGATTGGCTGCCTCGCACGCGGCAGTGTTCGTTCAACTCTTAGTCTTGCAACGAGGAAAGACAAAGGTAGCTCGAGTCGACACCGTATATAAATATTTGTACGCAGGATGTCCGAAAATTATGATATTTCCGGGAAATTAGGGTTTCCGAGGTGATTTCAAACAACTTTTTCCTTTGCGGAAATGCGATCCGCGCCTTCGTTCGCGAGTTATCGAGGAAAAACAGCGACCGATGAGTGCGCGCCTGACGCCCCGCCCTCGCTACCACTGCCGCTGCGTCAGACGACCAGCGCGGCGCGGTATTGGCCGCGAGGGCGGAGCGCCGGCCGCGCTTGCTCTTCAATTGGCCAGGGTTTTCCGTTAATAACTCGTAAACGAAGCCTCGTAGAACATTTCTGCAAAGGAAAAAGTTGCCGCAAATAATCTCAGGAGCCCCTCGACGGTGCCATAATTTCGGGACACCTGTACATTTATTCTGCATGTCTAGCCAGCGATCGAAGTACATAATACACGTTGCAACAAGTAGCAAAGAAAGATCGAACAGAGAGTAAACATCGTTATGATTATGTTCGTAGCAACAATTGATTCATCGATCGTAATACATTTTTGTTTGATCCTCGCTGCACGTGACCAGGTGCTGAAACTAACAATTATAGTTCGATCACTCTCCTTAATCCCGGTCTCTTAATCGAACCTCGACCACGATCTCGATAAAACGATCGAACACTGCCGCGATCGGAGAACCAGTCGATCGACGGGCGTCTAGATCTCCGAAGCCCGGATCCTCGGAGTCTAGAGTCTCGCATCCTCTACGATCGAGAGAGTAGTTTCGTTGCTTCGGGTCGGCCCTGCATGGATCGTGTTCAGTACACAGCTGGCCCGATTTCTTTCAGCGATCGATCGATCGTGTGTCACGCGACCTCGATCGATCCGTCGATCCGTTCGGCTTCGCGTCGAGTCCCGCGAACACTATGAAAAAAAAGAACCGACCAACTGTGCAAAAAAGGGAGAAAGGGAGGGAGGGAGGGGACAACAGGGGGTTTGTCGTCGAGCGAACGGATCGACGCCGCGCGGGTTCAGGCTGATGTGCTGAGCACCGCTGATCAACACAGAGACAGCGAGAAACCGAATGCCAATGATCGTTAACCATTTCTTGTGAAATTTTAACCCCGCCACATTGCCCGTGAGACAACTAACCAGATAGCCTAACGATGGGTATCCTTGCAGGTGCCGTACTGCGCCCAATTGGTGAGCAATAGCGCGTGTTGTGTGCATCGGTAATCACGTCACTTCTACCTCACCTATAATCTCTGCCCGCCTCTTCTGCTGTCTCTTTCGTTTCGTTACGTTTAGTTCTCGTTTTCTTTTGGTTTGTCTGTTTCTTCTCTGTTCCGTTAACGCCGATTAATGCCTTTCTAGCGATACCGTACTTTACTATCGTTTTGTTATACTTTTTAGCTCGTTACCAGCGCCAAGCTCTCGAGTGCTTACGTTTTCGATCCCCGCCTGCTTGGGTAGCTAGCACCGGTACCGAACCGCCGCTTCTACGATCTTTCCGTTCGATCATTTTTATTTGACTCCGAGCTGGCCGATCGAGCGCCGCGAACACCTGCTGCTCGCCCGGGCCCCGGCCCCCGCCGCGAGAAACAGCGTCCGCTGGGCCCAGCAGCCTGCGATCTCCCAGCGAGAGGGCGGCTCGAGCGAGCGCCAGGCGTCGCTGTACCCGCTCGGCTCTGCTTTGGAACCATAGATACCCGCGGCTCCCTTTTTAGAGCTCTTGTTTCGGTCGCGTACGATCTCCGCACGCTGGTCACGGCGCCTCCTCTCGACGATCTCCTGGGCCCTATGCGGCTCGTTCGCTGCCTATGCCACGTGGCCCCGGGGTCTCCGCTCGCCATTTTGTCGGATCCGATGGAGAGCTTCGCGCGCGGAGCAAGATCGAGCCGTTTCCTGAACGTCGAGGTTCAATCGAGTTCAGAACGAACTCGAGCGAACGGAGCGAACGGAGAACACGTGGCGCAGACGGTGTCCGCCGTTGGGCCCAAGGGCCCGTTTAGGGCGAACGCGCGAGCACGTCGCATGCTTCATACGCTGACGCCTTGTCAGAGATCTTGATCGATCGATCGACGAGTGATTTCTTCGAAGCCGCGAGATCTCAGTTAGCGGAGAGAAAGTTACTTCGACGAACGAATTATGAACGATAATTCAGAATTATCGCGGGGAATCGTCGATCGATCGGTCAAGGGACGTATGGGTCCCCGTAGTATGGTTATGGCTGACTGCACGTTTATTAAATCTCGCATGCGCCGACTCACCCACACTATCACGACTAAATATGTAACCGACTCACTCGACTCGATTCGATTCACGAAAGGAACGATTCCAATGGACACGCTCGCGCGCATATACACGCGAGCACACGATCGCACGCAGTCACACACGCGCGCGCACACACACACACGCAGTCACATATAAGCACACGCGCGCACAGATACAGTAATGTCTCCCTAAGATACGATTATTCGAGCCTTGCGACTCATTTTTATAATAGCGGACAATTTATAACTATAAAAATAAACCGCAAGGCTATGGTCGAGGCGCACAATCTGAGCGTTAGTTAGGGAGACATTACTGTACAGTAATGTCTCTTTAATTGACGCCCAGATTGACCACAGAAATGGACAATTTGGGGAGAGGAGATACCATTGTTCGAGCCTTGTAGCTCGTTTTTTAATAGTTGTTGACAATTCGTGACTATAAGAGTGAACCGCAAGGATCGAACAATCGTCTCTGTTCTCCCTAAATTGTCCATTTTCGTGGACAATCTGTGCGTCAATTAGAGAGACATTACTGTATGCGCGCACACGCACGTACTTCTCTTCGAGACGCACAGTCGTCCGCCGCTAGATCGCAAACTATTAGTTTTGAAACTGATTAATTAGTATTATCACTCTGCTGGCCGGTTCTTCTTTTTCTTTTTGTTCCTTTGGTATTATACAACGGTTTTTGCGGGGGGCGCACGGCGCACGTTGGTGACAGACACACACAAAGGAGAGAAAGAAGGAACACACGGACTGCATTTTTGATTCGTTCATTTGTTTATATTATTTCGTTGATTATGTTGTTTTCGTTACACTTGAGCCTCTTTTGCACCCTCCTCTGATCTGCATTCGAGATTCGATAGAAGCACCAAGAGTCTCTTTCTCTGTCTCTCTCTATTTCTCTCTATCTATCTCTCTCTCTCTCTCTTTCTCTCTCTATCGAGTGTTGTCCAGCGACGATTCTGGCAACGAGTCGAACGAAATGATCGATCTTGATTTAGAAACGAGACGATCGAACAGTTTCGACGGAGCAGTACCTGCGATATTCGCGGGCCGGAGAAACGCACGGAGCCACTCCGCCACGATCTAATTAGCCTGATTGCGTATGAAATGTCGGATTTTTAAGTGAATATATAAAACTACGTATCTTGTTTCAAAAGCTGTCTATTTAATCGAAATATGCTGCATTTGCTCCGACACACTTTTCCCAACGAGACTTCAACGCACAGATGCCTGTCATAAAGAAATTCCGATCTTTCGAATCAATGAACTCTGCATATGAAATTCTTTTTACATGGAAATCTTCGTTTTCGTGCCGTTTAGCCCGTGAGAACTGTTCTAAACGTTTAAAACGAATGAAAGTCGCTCGGCGAAAGATCCGGCGAACAGGCTGGTCGCTGCAGAATTTCGTATTTTAATTTTCATTTCATTTTCATATATTCGTTTTTAATTCATTGTCGCGAAGAAGTATCGGGCCGCGCCGATTAACAAGCAACGGCCGTATAATTTTCAATTTTTCACGCGTTTCATCGACGCACCGGCGGCGCTTCTCGGATGTAATCGTCTCCCCGGTTCGAAAGAACGAGCAGCGAATTACTCCGGTCGCATTCGTTTCCGCCGACGCTTTCGGAGCATCGTTTTTCGCGGACGTTTCGGGCCTCCCACGCGGTTCATTTTCTAGGGAAAAATCAGCGGACCGAACGTTTTCGAACCGACGCCGCGCTTCTCGATCGTTAACAGTATTCCCCTCGAACGCCTGGTTTGTATCGCGCGCAGCCTTTCGCAGCTTTGTTACCGAGTTTGTACTCGTCTAAAAAAGTTACACGAATATCGGTCGAATTCGCGTCCTCGCGAAATCCAAGACGAATAACAAAACGGAACACTTTCGAGGAAATCTTCTTCGTTGAAACGCGACTCCGGCCATGGACGGTGCGACTACAGTAATGTCTCCCTAACTGACGCTCGGATTGTCCACTAAAATGGACAATTCGGGGAGAGGAGATACGATTGTTCGAGCCTTGTAGCTCGTTCTTTATAGTCATTGAGAATCGGTAATTATAAAAAACGAGCTGCAAGGCTCGAATAATCGCGTCTCCGCTTCCCAAATTGTCCATTTTCGTGGACAATCCGAGCGTCAGTTAGAGAGACATTACTGTATAAACGAGCTTACGCCAGAAACAAAAGCACAACGAAAACAGGGAGACGAACGTCCTCGTGTAAATCAAATCCGACATTTCATACGCACCGACCTGATACAAGGCCAAAGACGGTGTCGGAACACTCTCTTTCTCTCCCTCTCTCTCACTCTTTTTCTCTCGAATGCTTGAGCCATGGTGGAGGATTATGGTGTCTGGCCTCGTCGGACAGAATCGCTCGTGCTCCGCGTTGCCAGAATCGCCGCGGCCGTAGTGAAAGCCTAGACACGTTGTCGTCGGGTGTCAGATACATACTATGGAAATTCATTGTTTTGTCCCGCCCTCCCCCCTGCCCCCACCCCCAGACTGTAAGCATGATTGTCGTTAAGAGTTCCTTGTAACTGTGATCGTGAAGCAAAGAATTTCCGAGGGAGAACGCCGCCGGGAACACCTAACTTGGGGGCAAAAGGCGTCGCCACTGCTGGGACGATGCACGCAGAGACGTGGGCCAGGATCGTATTCCAGGATCGGTCCCCGATCTCTCCGCAACGGGACCCCCGAGACGCCGAACGAAACAATGAATTGCATACTATGTGGAGGATTACCTAGTCTCCCTTCCGCGACGCGAAAAGTCTTGGGCCGCCGAGAGAGAGCTTCGCTCTCCTAGAAATGGCACCGCTGACAGCAGCCGTCACCCTCTCACCTGTTCGCTGACCCCGGCCTATCCGGACGCAGGGACTTTTCCAAAGTCCAGTAGAAGCTTTCGCAATACGAGAACTCGGTGCCACGAGGCTTCCTGGCGGAGAGTATTCGATCGGAACTTTCTTGAACTCGCTCTTCTTTCGAAAGCGTCTGAGTCTGATTCTCGATGCAGCGTCGCATGGGTTCGTTGTTTTATCCATGTTCGGCGGACTCTGGGTCCTTTGGGCCTGTTCTTTTGGACGGTCGGACGTCGCAGGGTGTCCTTCGACACGGGGATTTGAATTATCGAGAATTATAGAGCTTTCTAAATTGATATTAATTTATATCGTTTTATAGCAATGGAGAAGTTGGGTATATTTGAGATTCGTACGATATTTTTATTTTGTTCGGACACTTTTTAAAGTGCGATAACTATTTTTAAACTCAGCTAAGCGACTTGAAGTCTTTTTTTAAGTGATAGAGGGGCTAGCCTAGCAGACGATGACTATAAAGCATTTTTATTAATTTTGCTATTGCTTATAACGACAAAAGAAAAACGATCTTTCGAATGATTTCTTGACTAACAAAAAACGTTCTAAAAACTGATCATAAGATCAGTTAACACATAACGTCAGTAACAACAATATATCACAAAAAGAAAAATCAGAAACCATAGAACAGCAACCTACAACCAATTCGTCCCATGGGTCCGATTTGACCCCGAGTCCGCCACGAGATAAAACAATCACCCAATTAAACCCTGTTCCGATCGAATACTGTTCGCCAGGGGTGTACACGACGTAGTTTCACCGCTCCACCGGAACTCGCTGGCCCAGACATGTCCAACCACCGTGCTCGCGCGATCTAATCGAGCAAAGTAGACCGCCCCCCTCTAAAATAACCTTGGGACCGTCTACTATGCTTCAGGGACCGACGAGCACCAGCTGTTGGGAACTACTGTGCAATCATGACACCGATCAGCGCTCATTTCTGCATGGTAGGAAACCAACGGCGACGCGCTTAAGCGAGTCTCCCAGAGTCAGAGTCCCAAAGTGGGCCCAGTAGAATAACCTTGATCAGCCGGGGGACATGTCTGGCCCAGCCGTTGCTCTTTTCCGCGATGGTCGGCCTCGAGTGGACGGTGTCCAAGTGTTCCAAGCGGAACATTAACATCGGGCCCTTCGACGATAATCTGATATCCGCGGCTGATATCGGCGGTAATCTGATATCCGCGGCTGATACCGACGATAATCTAATATCTGCGGCTGATATCGACGATAATCCGCCGTATGCTCAATGAGAGTCCACTCGGGGCCCGACCGGTGCAGGCCGCGAAAGCGGCCAAGGCTCGCGAAGACCGCGTCCAAGACTTTTCGCGGTGTGCCGCGAAACGATTCGAGGTGACCGACCGCGAAGGGAGGACGAAAGACGAGAGACGAAAGCGGGTCTTGTTGAATGGGCCGTGGCTAACGCAGTGTCGAACGACCATCTCCGTAGGACGGGCAGCTATGCTGCAGCTACGATTACGGCTGCGCTGGCGATCTGGGTGACGACGAGCAGCAACGTCCTCCAGTCGTTGTTCCTGAGCCTGTCGTACGCGGTCTACCGGGCCCTGCGGGGTCACCGATGGCAGACGGTGCACCGGAAGCAGCTGTACCAGCGGTTACCGGTGCCGGCGGTGTCCCGACAGCCGCCAGCAACCACCTTCTGCCGGGCCCGTCTTCTTCCTCGTCCGTCAGCGCAGGCCCCGGCCCGGCCAGAAAAGCTCACTGGACCCTGCAGCGGAACACGGTGCAGCCGCCGCCACCGCAGCAGCAGCAGCAACAGCAGCAACAGCAAAGAGACGAGCGACGTCTCCGACCGCAGCAACAGCAACAACAACAGCAACAACAGCAGCAGCAACAAGCCGCGGCCACGGCGAGGTACCAGATGGCCGTCGGAGGCGCGGCGACGTCGTCGACGGTCCAGCGGCCGTCAGCCGCAGCGACGCCGGCGTCGTCGCCGACGACGGCGACGACCAAGATTCCGGCCAACCAGCAAGAGCCCGAAGCATCGCCGCCGCGTCGCCAGCAACGAGGAAAGCAGCCCGGCAGCCTCGCGGTTCATCGAGCGAACGCGTCCTCGTCCTCGCCACCGTCCTCCTCGCCGGCCCTGCCGGCGCCCTCCGGCGCTCGGCTGGGCCCGCAGGAGGCCAGCAGCACCCCCGCGAACGGCGCCGCACGCGGCGACTACCGTCAAACGGCCCCGAGCCGCCATCGTCGCAGCAACGACGCCGAGCCCGCGGGACACCAGGACACCGCCACTTGAGCGCGGCGACGCCGTCGACAGCTAGAAGAGACAGCAATCAGCATTGGCAAGGCATTCCAGGGGGTGTAGAGGAGGCTACGCGGGGTAGCCGGACGAGTTAGGAGAGCGAGCGGAGTCGCGTCCTCCGCGGCCGCCGCCTCGGTTGTTCGTCGCGTCGCCGAGGGAAACGCGGGGAAAGAGAGAGAGAGAGAGAGAGAGAGGACGGCGGGCCCAGAGCGGGGCCTTCGAGGCTACGAAGAGAGGAGGACTCCGGCGCCTCGTTGCCGCGTCTTCTCGACACGCTCCAGCTTCCATGGTCCAGCACGCCGCTGAAGAGAGAGACTGTGTTTCTTTCACGGGGTCCAGCCGACAAGATGGCGCCGATCAGCGATCGGAGGACGATCCTCCGTGTCGGACCCATCCCCCCACACCTTCCTCGCCCATTTCTAGTCTGTTTTAGAGCCGCGTCGCGCCCCGCCGCGGACGACGGCTCCACGGGGCCCGGTGTTTTTTCGGCGGGCGCTTCGTTCGATCGATCGCGCACCGTTCGCGGGGATTTTGGTGCCAAACGCGGGCCTGCCGAGCCGGCCCAAAATACACGGCGGACCTCGTTTCTCCTTTTGTTCGCTGGTTCGCCGCTCGAAAGGGACGACGGGGACAGCGGCGCGCCGTTGCCAACGATCGGCGCGGACCTCTTCGACGGGTCAAGCATAAAGGTTTCGATACCGCAGGCACCAGAATCGAGAAACTGAGCCCCCCACCCTCTCCCCGCCTCCGTTACCTCCGGCCCTCCTAACGATACCCCCGCGCTCCCTCCACAGAGGCGCGTATGCCCCGGAANCGCGGTTCATCGAGCGAACGCGTCCTCGTCCTCGCCACCGTCCTCCTCGCCGGCCCTGCCGGCGCCCTCCGGCGCTCGGCTGGGCCCGCAGGAGGCCAGCAGCACCCCCGCGAACGGCGCCGCACGCGGCGACTACCGTCAAACGGCCCCGAGCCGCCATCGTCGCAGCAACGACGCCGAGCCCGCGGGACACCAGGACACCGCCACTTGAGCGCGGCGACGCCGTCGACAGCTAGAAGAGACAGCAATCAGCATTGGCAAGGCATTCCAGGGGGTGTAGAGGAGGCTACGCGGGGTAGCCGGACGAGTTAGGAGAGCGAGCGGAGTCGCGTCCTCCGCGGCCGCCGCCTCGGTTGTTCGTCGCGTCGCCGAGGGAAACGCGGGGAAAGAGAGAGAGAGAGAGAGAGAGAGGACGGCGGGCCCAGAGCGGGGCCTTCGAGGCTACGAAGAGAGGAGGACTCCGGCGCCTCGTTGCCGCGTCTTCTCGACACGCTCCAGCTTCCATGGTCCAGCACGCCGCTGAAGAGAGAGACTGTGTTTCTTTCACGGGGTCCAGCCGACAAGATGGCGCCGATCAGCGATCGGAGGACGATCCTCCGTGTCGGACCCATCCCCCCACACCTTCCTCGCCCATTTCTAGTCTGTTTTAGAGCCGCGTCGCGCCCCGCCGCGGACGACGGCTCCACGGGGCCCGGTGTTTTTTCGGCGGGCGCTTCGTTCGATCGATCGCGCACCGTTCGCGGGGATTTTGGTGCCAAACGCGGGCCTGCCGAGCCGGCCCAAAATACACGGCGGACCTCGTTTCTCCTTTTGTTCGCTGGTTCGCCGCTCGAAAGGGACGACGGGGACAGCGGCGCGCCGTTGCCAACGATCGGCGCGGACCTCTTCGACGGGTCAAGCATAAAGGTTTCGATACCGCAGGCACCAGAATCGAGAAACTGAGCCCCCCACCCTCTCCCCGCCTCCGTTACCTCCGGCCCTCCTAACGATACCCCCGCGCTCCCTCCACAGAGGCGCGTATGCCCCGGAACGAGCGCGACGCGAGGCGCTCGTTTCATGCTTTCCGCAAATTCCTTCTTGGCGTGTTTCATTGAACAGGTAGCGCACAATATTTGGGCCTTATAAAGTATATAAATTGTTCGATGTTCCGCTAGCGGCGAGCCTCGCGCTCTCGGCGAGCGAGGCTGCGATTGTAAAGAAAAAAGCGGTGTATAATTTATCGTAAGGAATTGAATATTATATCCCCGACGCGGACGATGTTGTTTAAACATAGGAGAGCTCCGTCACGTGTATAAATATATACTGTAATATGTACAAATATACGTATATATCGTATACCATGTAGCCACGCTATGTATACGTGCGTGTATGTATATATTTATATTTGTATGTATGTATATTTATGAGCGAAGCAAACGAAAATCTATATATATATATATATACATATACATATATATAGTATATATATTAATATACATAATGTATATTCGCCGAGGACTCGGGTGGACGAAACGAAGAACCCCTATCGATGTTGAGAGTATGTAAATCGGATCGACGACGACTAAACGACTATATAAAAAAAAGAAGAAAAACAAAGAAGGTTATTGTAATTATGGATGATCATATCTCGTGACAATATAGACGGCGCGCGGTAAATCTTTATCGGGGGAAAGAACGACGAAAGAGAACGACAACAACGGCTATACACAATCAACGATAGCTCTCTCGCGTTTTTCTCTGGCGAAAATATAGTCTTACGCTTGGAAAGTAAACGTTTAAGGATCATTAGGGTATTCTCGCTCGGTCGGTTTAAGTCGATGATCGCGAAAAAGAAGCACAGGCCGCGGCCCGTGCTGGTTCAGTTTCTCTGGTTCCGGACGCTGGCCTGGTTTATGCCTTGATCCAGGGTGTCGAATTAATCATCGAACGCGCAACCTGTGCCTCCACGGTTTCACGGGGCCTTGGACGAGGTGCATGGCCCCCGGTTTCACGGGGCCAGCCCAGTCGGACGTGTCCGCCGACGACGATCGTCCGGCATTTATTTTCTCGTGCCGCTCTTTTTCTTCTCGGGAGGAAGAAAGACGGTTCTACGACCGTGAACTCTGGCCTATGAACGCGAGCTGCTCGCGGGGTTAATCGCCGCTCGAATCGCGACGGTTCTAATCGAGTTCGAGACGGTTCTATTCGAGTGCGAGACGGTTCTAATCGAGTGCGAGACGGTTCTAATCGAGTGCGAGACGGTTCTATTCGAGTTCGAGACGGTTCTATTCGAGTGCGAGACTATTCGAGTTCGAGACGGCTCTATTCGACTGCGAGACGATTCTATTCGAATTCAAGACGGTTATATTCGAGTTTTATTCGAGTTTGAGACGGTTCTATTCGAGTTCTATTCGAGTTCGAGGCGGTTCTATTCGAGTTCGAGACGGTTCTATTCGAATTTGAGACGGTTTTATTCGAGTTCCATTCGAGTTCGAGACGATTCTGTTCGAGTTCGAGACGGTTCTATTCGAGTGCGAGACTATTGGAGTTCGTGGCGTTTCTATTCAAGTTCGAGACGGCTCTATTCGAGTTCAAGACGGCTCTATTCGAGTTCGAGACGGTTCTATTCGAATTTGAGACGGTTCTGTTCGAGTTCTATTCGAGTTCAAGACGGTTATATTCGAGTTCTACTCGAGTTCAAGACGGCTCTATTCGAGTTCGAGACGGTTTCAAGGTTAAATTACTACGATCGCGTGGACGGATGTTCGAGATAGACGCGTTATTGGATGCTGGATTCGCTCGGTACCGACGGGGGAGGGGGGGGAGGACCACGGGATAAATCCTCGACAATACAACGACCGCGAAAAGGATGCGAGAACGAACGAAAACGCTGGGGACGTTCAGGTCGCGGACACGTCCGATTGTTCACCATGCCGATTTAGGTCTCCTGTTCAATTATTAGTTGTACACCGGACGATGAACGTGCCGGCTCGCTCGAACGATTCTTTATCTCGCTCAACCGAACGCGACCACTATGACTACATTCCTCCTTGATTAACGATAAGTAGGCACTAATGAGAGAAACATATAAATATATAAATATATATACATACATACGTACGTACGTACATACATACATGCATACATACATACATATATACATATATATGTGTATATATATGCATGTTTATATAAGTAACGAAAGGAGGGAGCCGAGAAAGAAAGAAACTAATAAATAAAATTAAACAAATGAACGACTAAATAAATGCGTAAATCTATATATATGTATGTACGAATATATATATACATATACATGCATGCAAACATACATATTTATATATGTATGTATGTATGTATGTACACATATATATGTGCGACGAGGAAGGGAGCACGAGTATATACATATATACATATATCACGTGTATGTATACATATTGAAGATGGAAGGGAAGTAAAGGTGACGTGCTGGAATGAGCTATAGATATTATAATGATCGACCTGCCGACCGGAAGCAAACGGAGTGCTCGGAGAACGTTGCGCGTAAAACATGGATTCGAGAGTCGATCGGTAAACGTTTGTTCAATGTGCAATAACTTAATGGTACGGTGTCGCATTTATTTGCGAGAATAAATGCCGGCACACGCCCGTCGACAAAAGTGGATCCCGGATTGTTCGATTGGACACCGGATTTGGATTTCGGTTTGGATCGCGTGGCTGTCGATCGCCGCGCCTTACACGGACCCCGTTGCCACCGGACTGTGAATCCGAGATCGCGCTCCTAACGAATATCCAGGAGAACGCTTCATTATTCCCCGTTCGCTCGAATCTCGCACCTTTCTCGCGCGCGCGCGAGTCGCAGTCCGGTCGCAAAGCAGCGAACGAAGGATCGGAGTAAATCCGGCGCGCGATCTCGGGGCGTTCGAAGCTTCCGGCGTGTCCCCGCGACGGCTGTACTTTCAGTGTACTTTTCGACGACTTTTCCGAGGTCGTCCGACCCAAGGTCAGGCCTAAAGAACGAAAATTGTACGACCTATTCGCCTCGATGCTCGACGATCGAAGCGATCGCCGCCGAAGTCGTTTTCCGCCGCGCGGTTCTCCCGCTCTCGAAGAACCGCTCAAAAGAGCTGTAATTTCTGGGACAACTCGAAGGAGCCGTGATTCCGGGACAGTTCGAAGGCCAACGAGATCGGCCGGCGCGAACAGTCGCGCGACCAAGAAAACGGCCCGTCGGGACCCGAACAAGTGCGAAGCGGCGGACACGCGGTTCGCCATTGTTTCGGCTCGTTTTTCCCGGTTCTTTCGTTCGCGGAGGAACGTCGACCGACGGTTTCTCTCGTTTCCGCGGGACTTTCGTTCGCGGTTCCGTTCACCCCGGTAATCAACGGGGCGGTCGCCTTAAGAAGCCCCTCGCGTGCTCGAGACGAGCACGGGGGGCGCAATCGAATATTCGCCGGGCGCGCCGCGACGACGCGACGACGACGACGCCGTTGGGCGCGCGACAGCCCGAAATAAATCATATTAATTAATCTTAATAACGACTAATAACGCTGTGTTGCTCCTGGTAAAACTGTATATAGACGTGTAATGTTCTAGTAACAGCCATTAGCGGGGCGTACGATTATACATATTATACATAACGACAACAACAGAACATATTATTAATCGCGACTCGGGGCTATCACGGCCGTGCGAATTATTGACTGCATAAACGAACGAATAAACGTAAACCAGCAACGTGTTACACGAATTTACTAAAGAACGGATGGATGATGCCGCTGATGTGGATGACGATGAACGCCGGGGCCGGGGGAGGGAGGGAGAGGGCGAGGGAATGGCAGCGGGAGAAAGAGAAAGGGTGAGAGAGAGAGAGAGAGATTAAAGTTTTCGAAATTAGTCGACGGCTCCTCGTTTCAACGAAATAGAAAATTATCTCCTCGCTCTCTCTCCCTTTTGCTCTCCCGCGATAATCGCTCCTCCCCGCGTCCCGAGAACGGCGCGAAGAGGCCGGCGCCATCGCGCGCGCCGCAAACTAGTATACAATTAAACTACGAATGATAGATCGTATTAATTATTGTATTATCGATATCGTGTTAAGCATTTACGACGACTAATCTCGAGGATCGAGAGGGTGGAGACCGGGCGGAGCCAGGACATCCACGACGGGGCAGGTTCTCCTCTTCAGGTTCGAGCGGATCCGGAAAACAGCGAAGATCGTCGAGAGTCGATTAGAAAACGATAGATCGGAGACGAACTTAAGACGCGTCTCTCCCTCTCCGTGGGCACCGGAGGGCAGCCGTGAATGGCCCGTTGCCGTTTCGCACTTTGATACGAGCGTAGACTGATAAGACTGTTCCTAGGGACGCGCCGAACCTTTGCAACGAAAACGAGAAAGTTTCCCCGCCGGCTTCCCTTGGGGACGATCCTCTGTTTTTTTAGAAGCATCGCCCCTACAGAACCCCACCCGCCCCCACCTCGTCGATCGTGTTGCCCCACGATGCTGTGCTCCCGGAACGCCGGGCAACGGGCCATTCCGCTCGCTCTCTCTGTCCCGTTTAGGAAGCTAGGCAAGACAGATCTCTTAATCAGGTAGGTAGGCTAGGTAGGTCTTCCGCGACGAATTGCTCGAACGATGGGAGCAGCGAATCGGACCCGGCGAGAAACGATGGTCGCGTTTGCGAGAGAACGCCTCGGCTTTGCGAGTCGTCGATAGGCCGCGCGCATGCTTCGAAACTGCCGCGGTTTGAGGCCGCGAAGTGTCGACTGGAAGCCGCGAGAATGCCGCGAGAACGATCGATTTTGGTTGCTTCGCTGAATCGAGTTTGCCGTCGAGCCTCGTTTCGCTCGACGCGTCGCGGAACAGCGTGCGGAGAATAGGGCTACCTGCGGATACGAATGCGACAACCGGGCCCCGAACCGAACTGTGGGCGACCCTCGGCTGGTCCCAGTGTAATCGCAGCGAGACCTCCGGATCGTTCGAGAACTAAAGTGGACGCGAAACGGACTGTTGAACTGTAGTTAAGGAACACCTGAGGACTTCTTTTATAGTGTTACCTAGCGTTTGTAACAGTTTAACGTTACTACAGACTACTACTAGTACTACTACGCTACTATACTACTACTCTACTACTACGTTACTACTCTATTACTGTTCTACTACTACGCTACTATACTACTACTCTACTACTACGTTACTATTCTATTGCTATTCTACTACTTTACTACTGTTCTGCTACTCTACCACTCTACTGCTTTACTACTGTTCTGCTGCTCTACTACTCTACTACTATTCTATTACTCTACTACTACACTACTACTCTACTACTATTCTACTACTGTTCTAGTACTCTACTACTATTCTGCTACTCTGCTACTCTACTACTATCCTTTTACTCTATCACTACACTACTACTCTACTACTATTCTACTACTGTTCTGTTGCTCTGCTACTCTACTACTATTCTATTACTCTATTACTACACTACTACTCTACTGCTATTCTAGTGCTCTACTACTCTACTACTACACTACTACTCTATACTGCTATTCTACCACTCTACTACGACACTACTATACCACTCTATTACTCTTCTACTACACTACTACTCTATACTGCCTGTCTCTTATACACATCTACTACTCTACTACTACACTACTACTCTATACTGCCTGTCTCTTATACACATCTACTACTCTACTACTACACTACTACTCTATACTGCCTGTCTCTTATACACATCTACTACTCTACTACTACACTACTACTCTATACTGCCTGTCTCTTATACACATCTACTACTCTACTACTACACTACTACTCTATACTGCCTGTCTCTTATACACATCTACTACTCTACTACTACACTACTACTCTATACTGCCTGTCTCTTATACACATCTACTACTCTACTACTACACTACTACTCTATACTGCCTGTCTCTTATACACATCTACTACTCTACTACTACACTACTACTCTATACTGCCTGTCTCTTATACACATCTACTACTCTACTACTACACTACTACTCTATACTGCCTGTCTCTTATACACATCTACTACTCTACTACTACACTACTACTCTATACTGCCTGTCTCTTATACACATCTACTACTCTACTACTACACTACTACTCTATACTGCCTGTCTCTTATACACATCTACTACTCTACTACTACACTACTACTCTATACTGCCTGTCTCTTATACACATCTACTACTCTACTACTACACTACTACTCTATACTGCCTGTCTCTTATACACATCTACTACTCTACTACTACACTACTACTCTATACTGCCTGTCTCTTATACACATCTACTACTCTACTACTACACTACTACTCTATACTGCCTGTCTCTTATACACATCTACTACTCTACTACTACACTACTACTCTATACTGCCTGTCTCTTATACACATCTACTACTCTACTACTACACTACTACTCTATACTGCCTGTCTCTTATACACATCTACTACTCTACTACTACACTACTACTCTATACTGCCTGTCTCTTATACACATCTACTACTCTACTACTACACTACTACTCTATACTGCCTGTCTCTTATACACATCTACTACTCTACTACTACACTACTACTCTATACTGCCTGTCTCTTATACACATCTACTACTCTACTACTACACTACTACTCTATACTGCCTGTCTCTTATACACATCTACTACTCTACTACTACACTACTACTCTATACTGCCTGTCTCTTATACACATCTACTACTCTACTACTACACTACTACTCTATACTGCCTGTCTCTTATACACATCTACTACTCTACTACTACACTACTACTCTATACTGCCTGTCTCTTATACACATCTACTACTCTACTACTACACTACTACTCTATACTGCCTGTCTCTTATACACATCTACTACTCTACTACTACACTACTACTCTATACTGCCTGTCTCTTATACACATCTACTACTCTACTACTACACTACTACTCTATACTGCCTGTCTCTTATACACATCTACTACTCTACTACTACACTACTACTCTATACTGCCTGTCTCTTATACACATCTACTACTCTACTACTACACTACTACTCTATACTGCCTGTCTCTTATACACATCTACTACTCTACTACTACACTACTACTCTATACTGCCTGTCTCTTATACACATCTACTACTCTACTACTACACTACTACTCTATACTGCCTGTCTCTTATACACATCTACTACTCTACTACTACACTACTACTCTATACTGCCTGTCTCTTATACACATCTACTACTCTACTACTACACTACTACTACTGCTCTACAACTACCTCTACTACTATACTACTACTACTACTCTACTACTACTAGATACAACTACAACAACAAAAAATACTACTACTCTACAACTACCTCCACTACTCTACAACTATTACTTCTACTATAGTCTACTACTACTCTACTAGTATTATTACAACTACTACAACAACAAAAAATACTACTACTACTACTACTACTACTGCTACACTACTATTACTACACTACTGCTACTATTACTATTACTACTGCTACTACTACTATTACTACTACTATTACTATTACTATTACTACTACTACTACTACTACTACTACTGCTACTACTACTACTACTATTACCACTACTATTACTACTACTATTACTATTACTAGTACGCCTAATAACTGTACCGAAGTAACTACCACAACGACTACTAGTAAGCGCTTATTAAAGAGGAAAAGAAAACTTCTAAAAAAACAAAAGCGAGTCAGAGTGAAATTTGTGTACGTTAGTAAGTGAGAAAGAGTGAGAGAGTGAGAGAATGAAAGAGAGCGAGAGACAAAGAATGAAAGAGAGTACAAGAGAGTACGACGGATCTCCTAAAGAAGCCTAGTCCCAGTTTAATGCTAACCGTAGAAGTTACCACCGTTACTATCTACTAATAATGTTACTATCATAGACACTGTTCGATCGCGAATCGCCGGTGTCCCCGGCTCGACCCGCGACCCCCCGTCCTCGCCGAGACCCCGGGTTATTCTAAATCAAGATTATCCGGTTCGGTTCGAACGGATTTCTCGGGCAAAAATTCGCGATCGACCGCCAATCGAGGCCATAATAAAAATAACGAACGGGAATCCAGCGACGCGCCGCTAGCGTTTATCGTCGAACATACTCGCTAGTGGCTGGCGCTAATCGTCACTGCCGGGACTCTATATCATCCTCATCTTCGTTCATTCGATCATCCGATCAGGGTACAGGCGGCGGACGCTCGCGGACGTTTCGATTATCGCGAATGACAACGAGACAGCTTGCTCAGCTTTACGGAAGCTCGCTCCCGCAAGCGTACTTTGCCCCTTCCGGGCATTTTCCAGCGACCTCGAACGATCGGCAGGGAACAGCCCACCCCCTCCCCCTCCGAGAGAATGTAACCCTTACTTATGGTTTCCGGGGCACTGTACGGTGCAGGCGCTTCCAGTTCGCGCGGGCCCAGCCGAGGACGGTGTCTCGATTTTTTCATCGAGCCAAGGTCATTCGGCCAAGGTCATTTTCGTTATCGGAGATTCGCGGCGCAAAGGGCCATCGGTGGAACCGTGCGAACGTCGAAGTGTTCGCGCGTGAACAGCTCGCAGGGCCGTCTCGATTCGGTGCTCCCGTTGGTCGAAGAAGTCTCGCAGTCGCAAGTCGCAAGCCAGCCCGATCAGATTCGCTCGGCGACGAGGCTCCGATTGGTAAAATATATCGTAGCCGGCGCTAAATTAACGATCGATCCGAGGGAATTCCACGGCGACGTCCATCGCGTTTCCATGCTTGTTGTGCGACGAATGTTTCTATGTACGTGTACAACGTGTATAACTTGATAGCCTACGGGGACGGGCCCGCGGTTTCGGGGCCGGCGACGGCGGGGGGGAAGGGACCGGCGGCTGCGCGGGAAGAGAATCGGCGCCGGGACAATCGGGAGCGGTTTGCCCGCGGATCGGGCGCCGGCGCTAGACGCCGGTCGGGCCCCCTCGACCGACGGGACCCCGCCGCGGCCCCCGTTCGGGGCCGTTTCGCCGGCCGGCCCGTCTCCCCTCCCTCGTCCCGCCGATTTCTCTCGCGCGGCCCACGCGAGTCCCCGCCTTCCCCCCGGCCGGCGCGCCCGCCGGGCCCGCCCTTCACCTACGAATTATTGTACGGTAACGCCGTGTTGTAAGAGTGTACGGGGAGTTGATTTTCTAGTCAGGTACCGAGTTACGAGGTCTTAAATATTTGCGTTTCGGGCAGCCAGCGTAGTTTTTACATCGCTGTGAATATGTAAGATGAGTTTTTTCTTTTCCCGTTCGGTTCGAGTGTCCGTTACGTTTTCGATCCGTTTCGACGCGGACCGCGCGTCGACGTCGTCGCAGAGAGAGAGAGAGAGAGAGAGAGAGAGAGAGAGTGCGAATTCTACAAACGCGTATGTTATACTATACATATACGACGCGCGCCGCGCCGGACACACGAACGTGTTCTCACGGATACGTAAGCACGCGCGCGCGCGCGCCGATTCGCGGCAGAGGCGACACGGTTATAAGATACGACTTTCGATTAATATATTAATTACGAATTAATTCTTCTTATTATTATTATTCTTATTCTTATTCTTATTATTCTTATCATTGCTACGATTACTATGATTACGGCGAGACCATTACGATTATTATTATTATTATTATTATTATTATTATGTTTATTATTAATTACTACCATCGTCGATTATTAGTTAACTATCACTAGAGTCATACATAATACCTTTGTAAATGAGAATCAAGACACTGACGGCTAGGGAAAAAACTTAATAAATTGAAATTCTATTAACCCAAATGCGTTACATCGTTTATTCCGTCTATTAACCCTTTCCACTCGAGTGGCGATTCCGAGGCGACGCTAAAAATTGCAACGCTATTTCAAACGCTATTTAAGAGAATTTTGCACATTGTTAAATTTGTCTATATTCGATAAATTGTCGAATAATAGAAGCCTTCTAATAAGCATACAAATTCATATGTATCAACTAAGAAGAATCGTGGCAAATTGAAAATACTGTAGGTTGAAACAAATGTCTTCATTTTGCAGTTGAAATAGTCTCGAGTGCAAAGGGTTGATTGTCCTTGTTCTATCGTCCTTGTCCCCGCATCGGAGCCCGGGGCCCGGCACTCGCACCCGACCCAAATATCCTCGAATAATTTCGCGGTCCAAACGATACATCCATTAACATCCCATTAACATCGATTAACAATTCGCGCGAGTTACGACCGGTCAAAGTCCGACGCGCAGATAAGCGGCGCGCTTCCGCCTAGCGGCGAAGCGACCGATGATTTATCGCTTCGGCGAGGACGGATTGCGTTTCTTGTTTGTTCGTACGGCAAAAAATTCGCACGGCGCACGTGCTCGTTCGGTGCAAGCTTCCGCAAACGTGCGACAACCGTACGGTCGTCGGTGTCAGTTTTTCCCGGCCGATCTCCAGGCCGATCTCCAGCGGACCGAACGGCGACCGATTCGTGCTAATGGAGGGACCGTCGACGAACGAACGGGCGACGATCGACGGCCCGAGAAGCCTCGACGACATGACCGCCGGTCAGCTGCAGGACCTGTTGAACTCCTTCGACGTCGTCCTTTCGGATTGCGATGGCGAGTGTCTTCTTCTCCTTCTTCCTGAAGATCCCGCAGCGCGCGCGCGCGCGCGTTCTATCTTAGTTTACGGTTCAGAAAAGTGAAAAGGCGTTTCGATTGTTTCGTGCAGGTGTTTTGTGGAACTCGGACACGCCGATCCCCGGGGCGATCGCGACCCTGAAGAGGCTCCAGGACCTCGGCAAGACGATCTACCTAGTGAGCAACAACACCGCGGTGTCTGTCAACCGATACAAAGAAAAGATTCGCGGCCTGGATATAAAAATGGTGGATATCCCCGCGTTCACGTAATCCTGTCGAGTAATCGGGGTCAATACTTAAATCCAATGTGCGAATCTCTGCGATCGAGAGCTGTGTCTCGTTGATCTGGAACAGGGGTGGTTAAACTTTTTAATCGCTACGAGCGATTCCGTTTTTCTTTTTCTTATTTTTATATTGTAGGCGGCGGTCTGCCAGCATTTATTGAGTGATCCATGAGAAAAGTAGGAATTTGAAGTCGATAATTAGTTCAAATTTAAAATAAACATAGACAATGTCGGATAGGCTAGGAAAATGGAGGCGGAGATAAGGCTGTTGGAGCCTTGCGGCTCGTTTTTGCAGTTACTGATTGTCAATGACTATAAAAACGTATAATAAATATAAGTAATAAACGTATAATATAAGAATTGTGATGATTACTAATATATTAGTATTATATAATTAATTATATTGTGTAGATATTAATGTATATATTAATTATATTATATATTAGTATATATTAATTATATTTTATGCATTAATATATTATCAATATATATTTGTATCAATATTTAATATATTATCAATTACTTACTGATTATATTATTAATTATATATTCATGTGAAATCGATCGTTTCGACCGGCACGTGGATTTAGTTATTGATCCTTTGCTCTTGAAGCCGTTTCAACTCGAAATCCAAAACGCGTGTATGAGTCACCGTGGTTCCTTTGTTAGGGCAATTTATGCACGCGAAACTCTGAGTCTTATGGCTGATCTAACAGTTGATCACAAGTTGATCGCGTCGGTTAAATTTCAAGCACAATTTCTGAAACGTAAACAAACTAAATATTGTGAACATTGTTTTCGGACAGGAGATAACAATTGTTGACGGAATCAGCACCGGAGTGCTAAAGATTCTAATATCTTGTGATAAAATTGTCGCGCAGGAACATCTGGTGACGCCGGTGATTGTGATGGCCTGGTATCTGAAGAAGATCGATTTTCATGGCGAAGCGTACGTCGTCGGCAGCCCGCCGTTTCGAAAGATGCTGGCGGATTGCGGCGTTAAAATGTCGTCGAACGACGTGAGTGCTTTCTAGACAAGATTTCCATTTCTTCGTGCGTCGTGAAAACGAATTAGAAGTTATTTGGAAAGGGTTATTAAATAAATTACATATAAATTATATAAATAAATTCCTCGGGTGATTTGAAGCAACTTTTTCCTCAGCGAAAATGCGATCCGAGGCTTCGTTTACGAGTTATAAGCGAAAAACACTGACCAATGTAACGCCCCGCCCTCGCGGGGCCCACTGGCGCTGCGTCAGGCGGTCAGCGCGACGCGGCATTGGCCGCGAGGGCGGAGCGTCGGCCGTACGCGCTTCCAATTGGTCCACGTTTTTCGTTAATAACTCGTAAACGAAGCCGCGTATGGCATTTTCGCTGAGGGAAAAGTTACTTCAAATTACACGAGGGATTTATTTATATAATTTCGCGGTGAAAATAGCGTCGAACGGTGATGTTTCAGGTGCCGATAATCTACGACGACGAAGAGGACATGAGCAGATCGATCGACTCCGCGACAAAAGTCAAGGCTGTCGACGCGGTCGTCGTTGATTTCGATATGAGATGCACCTTGGCGAAACTGAGCTACGTTTGCCAAACATTGAAAAACAAGGACATCCTGTTCTTGATCGGGTCGACCAGCGAATTGATCCCCGTGGACCAGGACAGGAGAGTCCTAGGTTGTCGATCGGAACGATCGGTTCGATTAGCGTCGGCTCGATCGGCTCGTTAATTAATTTCCGATGTTATTCAGGGATCGGAGGTCTGGCCAATCTGATCAGCCACTACACCGGAAGAAAACCGATCGCCTGCGGCAAGCCCAGCGACGTTCTCAAAGAGTATATTCTAGAGCTGTGCAAGGTGGATCCGAAACGGTGCCTGTTCATCGGTGACTCGTGAGTAGACTGCTGTTAGGTACTTTTTTTCTACTCGAAATTACAGCGAATTCTTCCTAATTCCCCCTCAGATTGCGCACAAAAATGGACAATTTGGGAAGACGAGATACGATTATAATTTTTAATTATAGCTATATATTATAATAATTAATATATATAATATTAATATATAATTGATAATATAATTAATAATTTATTTTAATATATATAATATTAATATTAATATATAATTAATAGCATAATTAATATACACAATATATTGACATTAATATATAATTAATAACATAATTAATAAATAATTAACATATTGGGTTGGCAGGAAAGTTCTGTCGTATTTTAAATACATTTGAATCAGCTTTTTAATAACGTTTATTTACATTTCAATCTCGGTAATATAATATCCATTATTTGCAACCACTCGTTGCCATCTTCAGGCAGCTTGTCGATCCACATGGACCGCGAAATGTCATTTCCGACTTTTTAAAGTTGTTGACAATCGGTAACTACAGGGCGTCCCAAAATTATGGTACTTCCGGGAAATGAGGGATTCCTGAGGTGATTTGAAGCAACTTTTTCCTTAGCGAAAATGTTCTACGAGGCTTCGTTTACGAGTTATCAGCGAGAAACAGTGACCAATGAGAGATACGACTGATGCCTCACCCTCGCTCTCCGATTGGCCAGTGCTTTTTCATTAATATCTCGTAAACGAAGCCGCGGAGAACATTTTTGTAAAGGAAAAAGTTTCTTCAAATCACCTCAGGAACCCTTCATTTCCCGGAAGTACTATTATTTTAGGACGACTTGTATGTATAATACAATCAATATATAATATAATTAATATATAATCACTAATTAATTATATAACATTAATATATTAATAATAATAATAATAATTTTGTTAATTATACGTTCTCATTGTTGTTGACAATCGATAACTATAACAGCAAGCTGCAAGGTTATTATTAATAATAATAATTTTGTTAATTATACGTTCTCATAGTTGTTGACAATCGANCCTTAGCGAAAATGTTCTACGAGGCTTCGTTTACGAGTTATCAGCGAGAAACAGTGACCAATGAGAGATACGACTGATGCCTCACCCTCGCTCTCCGATTGGCCAGTGCTTTTTCATTAATATCTCGTAAACGAAGCCGCGGAGAACATTTTTGTAAAGGAAAAAGTTTCTTCAAATCACCTCAGGAACCCTTCATTTCCCGGAAGTACTATTATTTTAGGACGACTTGTATGTATAATACAATCAATATATAATATAATTAATATATAATCACTAATTAATTATATAACATTAATATATTAATAATAATAATAATAATTTTGTTAATTATACGTTCTCATTGTTGTTGACAATCGATAACTATAACAGCAAGCTGCAAGGTTATTATTAATAATAATAATTTTGTTAATTATACGTTCTCATAGTTGTTGACAATCGATAACTATAATAGCATGCTGCAAGGTTATTATTAATAATAATAATTTTGTTAATTATATGTTTTCATAGTCGTTGACAATCGATAACTATAATAGCAAGCTGCATGGTTGTCTCCTCCACCTTCGGTGGAGGTTATCTCGCCCATTTTCATGCGCAATCCGACCGCGAATCAGGGAAAAATTATTGTAACCGGTTATCAGAGTGTCACGCGTTCTTCGAATGATTGTTCTAGAATCAATACGGACATGGTGTTCGCATCGAAGTGCGGGTTCCAGAAACTTTTCGTGGAGGGGGGGATCGACTCGCTGGAAGAAACGTTGCAGAGCGACCAAACGCGGCCGGATTACTATGCCCCTTGTCTAGCATTCCTATCGAAGATCATGGACACGCGGTTGGGGAGCTCGAGGAAGCTGGAAAAGAATTAGTTTTTTTATCCGTTTCGCCGGACAGTGTTTTTTGCGGCCGTGTTAATGGACAACGAAAAAATATTTGCAAATAAATTTGTATACGATTGCCTGCAACTGCCGAACTTTGCCTCGAGCGGCAAATAACCAGCAACAAAAAAAAGGACACTTGCATCGAATTACGTCTTGTCATTTTATTATTATCGAGAGTTCGCAGCCAACGAACGAACGAATCGTTTGAGAAACGATTACAACTTCGGTACAGATTTATTCGAAAAAGTTGCCGCGCTTGGAACGGATTTCATTTAGTATGAATAGTATATTGCAATAGTATTTTATTGGAATAGTAAGATTATATAATAGATTAGATTTGTAGATTTAATATAGTAATATATTAAGTGTAGTAGTATAGTAGATTTATTATAGTAGTATAGTAGTATAGTAGAATAGTAGAGTAGTATAGTAGTAGTATAGTAGAGTAGAATAGTAGTAGTAGAATAGTATAGCAGTATAGTAGAATAGTAGAGTAGTATAGTGGAGTAGTATAGTAGTAGTAGTATAGTAGTAGTATAGTATAGTAGTAGTATAGTAGTAGTATAGTATAGTAGTAGTATAGTAGTATAGTAGAGTAGTATAGTAGTAGAGTAGTAGTATAGTAGTATAGTAGAGTAGTATAGTAGTAGAGTAGAATAGTATAGTAGTATAGTAGAATAGTAGATTTTCTGCGAAAATTCGTTCATTTTCCCGATACAATATTCACACTGATTAAAAGTTTAACTGACTAATTGAAACGACTAATTAGACTCGTCGCGTTCGTAACTTAGGCGATGCAAGCGCGCGACGAGTCTCAGTCGTCGACTGTACCAAAAGAGTTAATCTGTATCTGTATCGAGCGTCTTCCTATCAGAATCGACTGCGATAACGCGAGGAACAGTCGGAGATCGAAGTGTTGCCTCGATTCCACGATGCGAGCAAATCAAAATAGAACAGTCTCCGAATCGAGCGCAGTTCGCGGACCAAAAAAATGACTCTCTCTCTTTCTCTCTCTCTCGACAAACTAATCGTCGCGAAGGGCCAAAGGGAATCGGTCGACCGCTTCCCCTAATCTCAGCTTCTTTGCAGCGCGCAGCACAGCCAATAACGCCACAGAATCCGAGAAGTGGGCGGGATTAGCCGGCGATTTCGCGCCTCGCGTCGGCTAGTTCGCGAACCGGATGCCTATATTTTGGTTTTCGGCGTGTCTCGGTTAATGGGACGAGGACAATCCGAATGGAGAAAGGGTCAACAGCTGGCCGGAGATAACGCAGAGGCTGCGAGCGACCGCTCGGCGCCGCTCGAACCAGTCCGCTCCGAGACAGCGTCGGGCGGCGAACAGCGCGCAAGGTCGACAACCAAGAAGACCTGCGTAGGACGGATCGACTTGGCGGGGACCGAGAACGTTGCATAATGCTTGCGGATATTGACTGCGAATGATAGAGAGAAGTCGGCGATTCCGCGGAGAGGAACCGTCGTACGAGCGAGGAAGGCGCGGCGACCAGAGCACACCATGCACGGACACCCGGTACGTTGCGCTGTGTTTTTTCCGCTCGCGGGCTTCGACATTTCGAGGGACGCGTGCTTCTTTCTCGCGAATACATTTCAGTGTGCTCGAAAAACGATTTCCGGCGAGCCCGTTCGCTCGAAAAACCGTGCACGCGAAGCGAAAGAAAGAAATCCGCGAGCCGAGTCGTTCGGAGCGCGGCTGAACAAACCGCGGTTCCCAGAGGTATTTCGAAGCGTTTCGCGAATCAACGACGCGCCGACGAGTTTTTCGAGCTTCGGCGAACCAAATAATGCTCTTTGAGCCGCTTTGAACGGCGAGAATTCGATTAGGAGGCCGTCACGTGCGAGCGCTCGCGCCTCCGACACGAGCCGGGACAACGCTGTTCTCGCGACGTTCGAAGACAATAGTGCACGCGTTGGCTTTATTATCTTCCGCTGTGTTCGCATAGAGACAGGCTGGAAATAGATCCAAGTGTTCGCATTCCAAAAAATTGTGGCGCGATACGGGTGATACGCGAGAGATAAGGGGCCGCTAGGCGTCCCGCTGTTTGTATAAACAATGGTGCAACTCGAGCGTGTACTCGAATATCGGCGCTTTTACGTTATAGGGACTGTGAACGGCCGCTGCTGTCCGTTCAATTGCTTCTTAATTAATTGTCTTATCAACTATTTGTCACTGTGGAACGTTATTGGTCGGCAGCTAAAAAGGAGCGAGAGTTAGGAGATCGTTCTTCGTCGAGCAGCCAGCTGCGGCGCCTCTTTTTCGGAGCGCGCATCTCGTATGTGTCGCGAGAATTAAGCGGCGACGAGTATACTCGTCGCAGAGCAAGCGTCGTTGGCCTAAAAATATTCTAAAGATCTTGAACTTTGAGAATATGTTTCTGTTTCCACGAAAATTGCAATTTGAATAGCCGATGGCTACTTTTCTCGCGCGACGAGTATACTCGTCGTGAACACAGAGCAAGCGTCGTTGGCCTAAACGTATTCTAAAGATCTTGAAATTTCAGAATATGTTTTTGTTTCCACGAAAATTGCAATTTAAATGGCTACTTTGTTCGACGAGTATACTCGTCGTGGCAAATATTGCTACGTCTCTGTGACGAGTATACTCGTCGAACACAGAGCAAGCGTCGTTGGTCTAAAAATATTCTAAAGATTTTGAAATTTCGGAATATATTTCTGTTTCCACGAAAATTGCAATTTAAATAGCCGATGGCTACTTTGTTTGCGCGACGAGTATACTCGTCTCCATGACGTAAGCATCGCCACTAAAATATCGGATCGAAAAGACAGTTCTATATCATGAAATTAACAATTTCATCGCTAATATTCACGCTTAACATTAACACACACCGCATACATAATAAATGATGAGTATACTCGTCGAACACCGGTTAATCCAGTTAGCCGGAATTTAGCAAAAATCGCGAGCGTGTAAAAGCGACGAGTTTCGAGTACACTTATTAGTTAAATTATCACAATTTTATTTTTTTAGCAGCCGGAGATCGTCGAGCCGAACGAGAAAGACTCGCCGAAGCTCAACGAAGACCTTAATTATCCTTTTATAATCGTTGCTTTTCAGGACTGGCGGAGTTCCGCGGCAATAACATGCTCTCTGGCGGTGATCGCCGCGGCTGTCGTCTGGAACATGCGACGGAACTGTTCGTCGAAGAAGAAGAAACCGGTGGAGAGCTGCGAGAAGTCGTCGACGGTCCAGGAGAACGGTAACGGCGTCGTCGCGAATAAGAACGTCGACGATACCCATCGCAGGAGCGACGACATTCCCGAATTACCGGACCCGAAATGGACGAAGGTAGGTGAGGTCGAAGAGCTGTACGTCTACCCGATGAAATCTGGCCGCGGGAGGAGCCTCGGCGAGTGCGAGTTCACCGAGTTCGGCATCTGCATCGAGAGCCAGGGGAAGTTCGCTCTTCGGGATCGGTAAGGAATCATGCTCGCATTCGGGAAACCGCCACTTTCGGAAGCACGGTAAATTCTCCACAATTGTCCTTCCACTTGTGAACGAGAATGGACAATTTGGAAAGAGGAGATGCGATTATCAGAGCTTCGCTACTCATTTTTACGTTCGCCGATTCATAAATCGGGAATCATAAAAACGAGGTACGAGGCTCTTCTCTTGTCGAAGCGTCCATTTCTGTTCTACAAGCTGTAGGAAAATTAGGTAGAATTTACAGCAATTCTCACCTGTACGCTCTGCGCGCCTCGTTTCGTAGCCTTATCGGCGATTAACGCCGCTTAGCGCTCGTTAACGCGACGGTTTTAGACGCTCGTTGCGCGCGCGTCTTTCGAGACATTTGGTTGCCAAGCTTTTTTTAAATCGTTTCAAACGATTTACTGTATTCGATAGAACGATCTTCGGTATCGCTTCCCGCCGGCAAGTCCCGTGGAACCCGTTCCCGAAGGAACTGACGGCGAACGTTCGATGTTCACCAGAATGTTTCTAGTGTACAGCGAGGAAACCGGCCGCTTCGTCACCGGCAGGAAGTACCCGACCATGATCCTAGTGACCCTGTCCGCGGTGGATGAGCAGAAAGTCAAGCTGGAAGCCGTGGGGATGCCCAGCGTGGTCTTCGGCGTGCCTAAAAACGCCGAGGAGAACGTCGAAGCCGTGCAGTGCACCATGTGGTGGGGGGAACCGGTGAAATGTATCGATTGTGGACCGGAGCCAGCCGAGTGGCTGTCAAGGTACGCGCAAGTTTGCCGGGAACTTCGCGAACTTCGTTCGAACCACGAACATAATTCTCCTTTTGAAATCACCGTCATTACCTTGACAATTACGTTTTCCCGTCGCATCGCTCCGCCCATTTCGCCGACGCCGACCTCTTTGCCACGCCCACCGGCCCCGAAGAGACGCTAAAAGAGACGGCGAAAAGAGATTTTTTATTTCAGATTTTTAACCGGTACGAGTTCCGGGCTGCGATTAGGCTACTCGACGATGGACAAACGGGACTTGAGCATCTGGTCGAAATTCACCGAGGTGTACAGCAATCTCCACGCCGAGGACACTGTAACGACGCGACGGATAACGATATGATTTTTATCACTTCTCGATGTTCCCGCGATCGGAGGATGATTAACCGGATCATTTCTCTTCAGGGTTTGTTCAGCGACTTGGCCAGCTACATGCTGATGTCCACGAAGTCTGTCGAGGCACTGAACGAGAAACTTGAGCGACCGGTGCCCGCGCTACAGTTCCGTCCGAATATCGTGGTGTCGACGACGGAGGCGTTCGCCGAGGACAACTGGGAATGGATCAAGATCGGCAACAAGGCTGTTATTAGGAACGTGAAGCCTTGCACGAGGTGGTCAAGCCAGAATTCTGAATTGCAGATTTAACTATTTTAAAATAATCTTTCCTTCCCGCCTTGGCGCGCGCTGCGCTCTGCTTGTTGCAATTTAGGAACAATTTGGGAAGAGGAGATACGATTATTCGAGCCTTGCGGCTCGTTTTAATACAGGGTGTTCCAAAAATGCCTCGCGATCCAGAAAAGGGGATTCCGGAGGTCATTTGAAGCAACTTTTTCCTTAGCGAAAATGTTCTACGAGGCTTCGTTTACGAGTTATCAGCGAAAAACGGTGACCAATCGGAAGCGAGTGCGGCCGACGCTCCGCCCTCGCGGCCAATGCCGCGTCGCGCCGGATGACCGACGCAGCGCCGGTGGGCCCCGCGAGGGTGGAGCGTCAGCCGTATGCGATCTCGCATTGGTCACGGTTTTTCGCTAATAACTCGTAAACGAAGCCTCGTAGAACATTTTCGCTAAGGAAAAAGTTGCTTCAAATGACCTCAGGAATAACTATAAAAAACGAGGTGCAGGCCTCGAATATAAATTGTCAATTAGGGAGAATTTACTGCATTTGCTGTATTGTCAGCTTCGCGAAAGTCTGTTAAACATCGTGACTGTCACAGGTTATTTAATAAATATCTATAATAAATTAATTGCAGGTGCAAGTTCATTCTCGTGAATCCGGAAACCGGCGACGCGGATGCAGACGAGCCTCTTAGAACCTTGAAGAGGTATATAATAAAATAAGCCTGCGCACACTGTTCTTTATCGCGAAATTAATCTCGTCGGTTTTAACGTTTTAGTTTCCGCCAACCGACAGATTCGAGCAGGATCGCGGTGGAGGGACAGGCCCCGCTCATAGGAATACTTTGTGGCGCCTACATTCCCGGAAAAGTGAAGGTCGGCGACGGCGTGTACGTTCACGGTGCCGAGGACTCGGTCAAACAGAATCGTCAAGACGCCTCGAGCTAGAGTTTACGAGCTATCTCAGAAGAACTCTTCACTCACACTGCCTTCGCTTCCGAAAATAGATAATCTTACCGATCGTTGTACTGGTCACGTTTCCCTGACAATGGGAACGGCACCTCGGTTGACAATACCATATAGACTGTATTTGATAATAAATCGTTGCCGTTGAATACGAACGAGAACAGTTGCTGCGGGTATGATGGTCGAATTCTGTTCGACTCGTTGTAGAATAAAGTGTAATTTTGTACAAGCTGTGGCAGTGGTTTTTCATTCGAGTTGGGAAACATTGATCTCATGTTTTGTTGTCCCCCTCGTCCGAGTTGAATTGTATACTATTATAATTAATTATATAATAATTGCTATATAATATTATGATATTATAATATCATAATTTATTATTATATAATAATTACTATATAATATTATAATATTATAATCAATTATATAGTTATATCTTATATAAATAAGATATAATTGAGAATAATTAAGAATAATTATAAATACTAATTACAATATAATAAAGACTATAAATAAGAATATATAATTATGAATAATCTAAATAATAGTCTCATATAATTAAGAATTAACTTAATCAATAACCTATAATCTAATTTATAATCTAATTCATAATCTAATCTATAATCTAATGTAGCAGATTATAAAATCTGATGTCTGGGACGAATTCGACCTCGTATTATTCGTTATACCGATCATTTATCAACGTTAATTTTTTAGAATTCTTTCAGGCAGCATTTCGTAAATCTTTAAGAAAAAACAAAATGTGTGTTACAGAGCGAAACACGCGAATGAAAGAATTTTTAAGCAATTACGTCGTCGATTTTAGTTACGTATCCTACTAATTCTGACGGTGTTCAATATTTTCAAAGAGAAAGCTGTGCGTATTTTCGGTTCCCGAATGCGGATTATTCCGGCTTGATTAACGCGTGACGTACGAAATCTCGTTACGATTATATCGCGCGAGAGCATTGATGTAAATTGTGAAATTATTTATCTTATCGAACAATCAATACATGTGTCAATTTACAGTACAGGCTTCTGTCTGGGCTTTTAATAAGTTCGAGACTCGTTATGTAAGCAATGAATTTCCTATCGTTTCGAAGCTAAAGTAATCAAGATTAAAACATAATAATTTACATACTTGGTGGTGTAATTCATTCGTATATATATATAATAAAATTAGGTATTTAAAAATAATAATAAGCTTAGGCTTAATAATAAAACTTAAGCTTTACCCTCCCTATCTCTTTCTCTCTCTCTCTCTCTCTCTCTCTCTCTCTCTCTCTCTCTCTCTCTATTTCCTCTTTTTCTATATATATAGAATATTTATATCTCTCTCTTATTTTTTTATTAGAAATAATAATAATAAAACTTAAGATTCTCCCTCCCTCTCTCTTTTCTCTTTTTCTATATATATATATATAGAATATTTATATATCTCTCTCTATATATAGAGAGAGAGGGAGAAGCTTAAGCTTTATTATTATTTTTATACATTTAATTTTATTACTATATACATAGAAAGAGAGAGAGAGAGAGAGAGAGAGAGAGAGAGAGAGAGAAAGAGAGTGAGGGATAAACTTAAATTATTCTTTCTACCAATGCATTTTAAAAAAACCAAATAATTTAAGTCTCTCTATACATGTATAAAATATATAAAAAAATCGTAAATGAATGAAATTGGCTCGCAGCTCCGTCAACTCCATCGTTAAAAATCTGGTCGTACAAGAAGCCGCAGGCTTCCTGGTCTCTCGTTCCGTCTTCCTCTGGCAGATGACGTTTATTGGTTCGCCGCGAAGAGTCTCGCCGGTGACAAACGGAGGTGTTAGGGTTTATCAATCGGTGTTATCTAAGAGGGGCGCGCTGCCTATGTCTCCCATTGACGGGCCGCTCCGCTGCCAGAAATCGGCTCAGTTCGGTTCCGCCGTTCGACCAAGTTCGAACTGTTCCGCGGCAAATGGCGGCGGCTAAGACGGCGATGGGAAACAGCACGGTGCCCGGCCCGAAGGACCTGTCGGGCATGTCCGCGGACCAGCTGCGGGAGTTCCTGAACTCGTTCGACGTCGTCCTCTCCGACTGCGACGGCGAGTGCTTCCGAGAGTGTTCCCGTGGCGCGCGAATCCGAAGAGGAGGACTGAAAGAGTCGTTTCGTTTCTTCGAACAGGTGTCCTCTGGAACTTGAACGTGCTGATCCCGGGAGCCGTCCAGGCGCTGAACCGACTCCAGGACATCGGCAAGAGGGTGTACTTGGTGTCGAACAACAGCCTGGTGCCATACAGCCGCTACGAGCAGAAGACGAAGTCCGGCGGCATGGATCTGAAAAAGGTGCGCCCTTCTCGACGCAACAGCCGAATTAATCTAGACCGATTCGCACTGGTTCGACCGATCGAATCGGAGGAGAAAGAACATCCGCCGGCCGCAGGAATCGACGGAGACGCCGATCGCGCGCTAGTTTTTTTTGCAAAGAGAGAAAGAGAGATAACGCTATCAGCGAGCGTTGTGGTTTACGAGCCGCGATTTTGGAATCGCGACACGTGCCGCCGTATCTCGCGTTTGCTGAATGTGCAAATCCGGAAGCGTATAATCGATGCTTACGTTGTTACACACCATTACACATTCATTTATTATACATTGTTTCGAGTTCTAGCCACCTGCGATCGAGCTCATACTTTATTCATCTCGCTCGAAAGGCGTCGGCGTTTACATCGTTCGGAATGTATCCGTACATTGTCGTCGTTGCAGGATCAACTGATAAACCCGTCGAAAGTGATCGCCTGGTACCTGAAGAAGGTTCACTTCCACGGCAAGGCTTTCGTGATCGCCAGCAAGGCGTTCCGTCAGGTTCTGGCCGAACACGGCATCGACATGTTGCCGGAATCGGTGAGGTTACCGCTTCGACATCGTCGCACTCGCGTACGACACGATGTACACAAACGGCGGAATTGTTGCCAAAATCCTGGACGACCTTCGGCTCGAACGGAGATCTGTTTTTCGATGATCGCTAGAGATTATGCGAATGCGTGTCTTAGAACAGCGAACCGAACGGACGGGATTCGAATTGAAATTTCTCTCGCGTTGAAATTCACATTTTTCCGTGCTGGAAATCGCACTGTTCTCTGGATAATTCGCAGAGACGTTGCGGATATTTATAGCGCATATTAATCGCTATCATCTCGATCATTTCGATCGTCGGATATCATTTCGATCGTCTGCAGAATCCCGCTATCATTTGAAAAAACATTCGAATCGCTCGGCAAAGTTTTGAAAAAAGTTACTGCGTTTTGAAAGGAATACGCTCGATTTTTTGGAAATAATTGCAAATAATATAACTGTAATAACTAACTGTAATAACTGTAATAACGGTAACTGTTCCCCGCTTCGTTTCGGAGGCTCCGGCAACGATTTCGTCGTTTGCTATCGTTTCGCGACGGTTGAACGACGGAATGATCAATGTTTCCAGTTTCCACCGACCAACGAAGACAACGTGGAGGATTCGATAAGGAACTTATTCAACGTCGGATCAACGAAAGCGGTGATCGTTGATTTCTCGATAACCGACGGATGGACGAAGCTCGTTCACGCGATCAACTGTCTAGCCAAGGAGGACGTCCTATATCTGTCCGGGGCGTCGGACGAGTGGCTGCCCTTGGGCAACGACAAGAAAATCCTAGGTGCGCGAAATCTTTGTTCGGCCCTGAAAGAATTGTAATTTGGTATCCAGACGAATTATTCCCGATGTCCGGTGATTTTCAGGCTGCAAACACCTGAACGACCTGATATCCCATTATAGCGGAAGAACTCCGATAATGTGCGCGAAACCGAGCAGCGTCCTCGGGGACTGCGTCCGGGAGACCTGCCAGATAAACGACCCTAAGCGATGCCTGTTCATCGGGGACATGTGAGTAGATTCCTTCGTAAAGGTGGACGTCTATCTGCGAGTGAAACTCTCGGCAATTGCTTCGCAGTGTCAAAAATATTCCAAAAATCTGGGACATTGGAATGGAGGGATCCTGAGGTCATTTGCAGCAACTTTTTCCTTAGCGAAAATTCAATCCGCGGCTCCGTTCGCGAGATATTAGCGAAAAACAGTGACCAATGAGTGACCGCGCACGACTGACGCTCCGCCCTCGCGACCGCTGTCGCTGCGTCAGCCAGTCGGCGCGGCGTGGCACTGACCGCGAGGGCGGAGCGCCGACCGCTCTCCGATTAGTCAGTGTTTTTCGTTAATAACTCGTGAACGAAGCCGCGGAGAGAATTTTTGTAAAGGAAAAAGTTGCTCGAAATGACCTCGGGAACCCATTTCCAAGTTGCGAGACATTTTTCGGACATCCTGTACAGAGAAACTGTCGGGAATTCTACTCTGAGAACATGTTGCAACGCGTACAATCTGTTCTCCCGTGGTTCCAGGATCTCCACGGACATGATTTTCGCGGCAGAATGCGGATTCCAGAAGCTGCTCGTGGAGACGGGCGTCGATAAAATCGAAGACGCGTTGGGGGATGTTAAGACGCGGCCCGATTACTATGCCTCGAGTCTAAGATCGCTGCTCGACGGCATCGATCAGCTGTCCAACGAGACCGCGGGCCGCGAGAATAGTCGATGACCGTCCAATTCGATCAGAGCAGCGACGATTGTAACGCCGATTACTGAAATAAATTCGCTCTGAAATTTTCCAAACCTGCGAGACTCTCCTTTCTTTCCGAAACACGATCGCCGCGCGTTATCTTTGACCAACGAAATTCGCGGTGGACCCGGCGCTTCTTTCGGACTCTCGCTGACAGAGCTCGCTGTAACAGCGGTCGCCGCGAGTTGTACACCGCGATAGAGAGAGACAGGAAACTGCACGAGTTAAAAATAAACGCCTAGCAGGGGGAAGGGGCGAGAGGGGCACCAGCATAACCTTGCGGACAATCGTGCGGTGTCAGTCGCCGCGAGACTACCGCCGAAAAATGTCCACGTGGCAGCCGTTGTTCGTGATTATTGGGCTGCTGGCATGTTGTTGCGGCGAACAACAGCATGCGAGACAGCGATGTAAGTGTAAGAAAGTAATTGTGTGTTGTTACGAGGCCTCGGTTGTATATGCGCGATAAATATGCTAAGTGCATGCGACATTTATGAACGGCAGATATGCAAAACGTGCAATAAATGTGTACGCGAGATATCTACGGAAATATGCGATGTACGCACGATATTAACTGCCCGATGCATTATACTGTATTGTTATTAATATTAATTATGCTGTATTGCACGCATTTTTTGTCTTCTAAACTCGACGGTAATCTTGCACGCCGATAATGACCGTTCCACGTCGCATGTTGTTAACGATGAACATTCGAATTTACGCAAGACAGTGTCGTGGCGCATGTATCGGGCTATCTGTGATTTTTAATCCGATTTCGATACGATTATTTTTTTTTTTTTTTAATAGCCGCATTTACTCGATAACTATAGAGCCGCGAGGCTCGAATAATCGCATTCTCTCTTCTCCAAACTTATCCTATGTTTTTACAAGATGCAGGACAATTGGGGAGGATTTACTATGAATTCCGGCTCACCCTGTATATCAATAAGAAAAAAGAAAATCCTTTGCGAAAGTGAACGAACTTTAAAGTCGATTTTCTCGATGTTAAAAAACTGTTATAGCAAATATTCTTCTTATTTTTCTTTAACACGTAGAACCACCCCCATGCTAGATTATGTTGCGAATTCTTGCCCACCCTGTATATCAATAAAAAAAGAAAGAAAATCTTTTGCGAAAGTGAACGAACTTTGGAGTCAATTTTCTCGATAACGGAGCCCCGGATCAAAAAACTATTATAGCAAATATTCTTCTTACTTTTCTTTAACACGTAGAACCACCCCCATGCTAGATTATCCTGTCCACCCAGTATATTAATAAAAAAAAGAAAGAGAACCCTTTGCGAAAGTGAACGAACTTTAGAGTCGATTTTCTCGATAACGGAGCCCCGGATAAAAAAACTGTTATAGCAAATTTTCTTCTTATTTTTCACATAGAATCACCCCCATGCTAGATCGTGCTGCGATATTCCTGCCCACCCTGTATAATCGATAGCAACATTATCAGATAATGATCGCAAACGGATGAAATGAATTTAGCAAAATGTATGATTCAGATGAGCACGACGTATGCGTGGACACACGTCAAATAACGTATGCAATGTATCATTGTATATAAACATAAATATGCAAAACGTATGCGGTATGCAAAATATGCGGTATGCACAATATGCAAAATAGAAACTGCCTGTGGCCTGATCCTGTCATTAATTTCTGTCCATGTACCATTGGTGTGATACGCCGAACGAATCTGCATTCGCATAAACAACCGCGGTCTAATTGTTTTAAAAAATAACAACGCGTGAATTTTATAAATATAATCGAAACGTTGCAATACGAATTTCTTCGTTTTGGATTTCTTCGTGCGAAGGTAAAACGTAAGAAATCTTGCAGCCTTTCAGAGCACGCTGGGCCATTTAATTCCACAATCGCGACCGGAAGTGCAGGCGAAGGCTGCTGGAGGCGTTGCCGAGAGGCTGCTGGGCGCGGATCGGGCTCGATTGTTTCTACTGAACGTGGACCCGTCGATTGGGCCAGTTGGAAAAGACACGTTTACGGTAATTTTTCGTTAACGCTAAACCTATCGCGGTCAAAGTGACCGCTTTCTAATTTTGCAATTCTGCAAAGTTCCGAGCACTTTTAGCACTGAAGGGAAGGTTAGCGAATCGGAGAGCGCGTTTAAGGTTACTATTAACACGTTCCGTGCCGAGCTTTTTTTACTCGAATCTTCACACTTTGATATTTCACTAAAACTTGATGTATTACGTGCAATTATTAATTCTCGTACACGTAACAACGTAACAAAAACTTATCAACGCCCATTCTTGCGGTGGAAATTGATTCTTCGGTTCTAAATTTCTTGTAAACAATTTGTTCAGTTCACTAAGTAAACATGCAAGCGTGTATCATGGATGGTACACGTGGCACGGAACGTGTTAATGCAATTTATTGAATTGCTATCGATGAGCGCGGGCGCGACTAGCGTGGTGTCGTAGGACTAGCAACTTAGGACAGACTGAGCTTTTTGAGTTGCGCGTTTGTCTCTTTTATAGTGGAAGAGAAGAAAGGAATAGATGGATTTTCGTAGGAAAGGAGAAAGTTGGGAAGTCCCGTGCGGGTCGAGGTGTCCAGATGCGAGGAGAATTGTTTTATTAGGGGTGCGTGATTTTTAGGGAATTTTGATGATTAGGAACGGTACTTGTTTTATTGCTAGCGGCTGCGCTCAGGTAGAGGGATGCGACGCCACACACTCTTTCGTCGAAAACGCTTGAATAAGTTATATATTATTGGAGCAAGTTTTATAATAAAAACTTTACGAATTCCAAATAAATTCGGTCTTCTCACTTTTGTGAAGCAGTACATGCCAGTTAGTATTAGCGATTGGTGGGTTTAGTGTTAAAATCCCAACCAGCGAGAATATCGCGCGAGCAATGGAAACAAATCAACGAATCGATATGTCTCTCTAATTGACGCTCAGATCGTCCACAAAAATGGACAATTTTGGAGAAGGAGATACGATTGTTCGAGCCTTGCAGCTCGTTTTTATAATTGTGGACAATTTATAACTATAACAAGGGTCGAATAATTGTATCTCCTCTTCCCGAATTGTCCATTTTTGTGGTCAAATACAGTCAAAGCACACGGCAATAAATATGAATAAAAATCGGTTATTCGATCGAAGCTGCTAAACGCTTGTTACTTTGATCGCGAAATGGTTTAATTAGTTATCGTATACTGAGTTTTATCGTCTCGAAGTCCGTTGTCCATCCGTCGAGGGCCTACCATAAACGTTTGATTATCTTTAACCTTAACTTTCCTCCACGATGGTAAAACATGTCCTTGGATCCTCAACGGAGAACTATTCCTCGAACTGTCCTCTACATTATTATACAACATTTTCTTGCATTTGTGTCACATTTGTAATTGTAATCGTGGTTTTTAGTAACGCGTCCGATAACGGATCGGAACATTCTCGAGAAATGGGACTGTTCGTCGCCCAGTGACATAAAAAACGGACGCGTTTCGTTTCATTCGGAACACAGAATTGCGTGCAAATCGATTCATCTTTGTGCTCCCTTCAACAACGAAACGATCGACGCGCTTAGGTGGAAAATTAATTAGCTTAGAAGTTATAATCCCAAGCTTTGTGTGTGCTTTGTTGACCAGATCGAAAAGAATTCCGCTGGAAAAATCGAGGTCACCGGCACTTCCGGGGTGGCCGCAGCATGGGGGTTGCATTACTATCTGAAACATTATTGCAACGCCCACGTGTCGTGGGAAGGGGCTCAATTGGAGTTACCGGCCACGTTGCCGGACGTTCGCGTGAATGTTACGTCGAACGACAGGTGATGAACCGTTCAAAAGTCATCGTCGACACCATCGATATATCGTGTGTAACGAATGTGAAAATTCTGGCGCAGGTTCCGGTACTACCAAAACGTGTGTACCTTCGGCTATAGTTCAGTCTGGTGGCACTGGGACCAGTGGGAAAGGAACATCGACTGGATGGCTCTTAATGGAATCAATTTAGCGCTCGCCTTCAATGGGCAAGAAGCTATCTGGAAGCGTGTCTATCTAAAGCTCAACTTGAGCCTGACCGAGATCAACGAACACTTTACGGGACCAGCTTTCCTGCCTTGGTAAATTAACCTATTCTTACATTTTCGATTGAAGTGAGTAAGATAAATTATCACTTAAAATTAAAGTAATTAAAATAAACTATCGCTTGAAATTAAAGTAATTAAACTAAATTTTTGCTTAATATTAAAATAATTAAAATGAATTATTAATAAAAGTATCTAAATCTGATTAGTCTAAATATCTTATAAAATCTAAACAATCTAATCATCAATCTGAATTATTAGAGGAAGTCGAAGAAATTGTTTTAATTAACAAAACTTGCTGAAGTAGCTTAGTTTAAGCTTAGTTTTAGGGAACAGTAATTGGCACAGCTACCCCATATGAGCACAGAAAAGAAGTTATAAACTTTATTTAGTTTTATATAGAAATATTGAATTTTGTAGCAATTAATTCGTATCGTATTTTTCGTAAGAGACAATATAAAATCTGTCGCTTCTTTTTGTTGCTTTCAAACTCTGTGTGTGTGTCATATTGTTGACAGTAATATAACCATTAGTCGCTAAAAATCTTAGCCGATGATAAAAATGTTCGCCGATTGGTTCCAAGATCATCTGCTAGATGGCGTCAAGTTGCCAACAGTCGAAATGACTGGTCCCTGAGTTATTTTATTTTACAATTCTCGATTGTACTATGAAAATGTTCTTTGTCAAAAATTTTCGTACGAACGAAAAATCTTGTTGAAATGTTCTGAACAGAATTTCTTTGCTACGTTAAACCAATTTTGCTACATTAAGAAATATATCATGCGATGGAATGATATGCATCGATATGTAAATTAATTAAATATGTAAATATTAATTAATAAATATGTAAAATTAATTAATACGTGATATAGCATATTAAATTTACGAAATTAATATTATTAAATTAATATCTTTTTATCGTACTCGCGTCGCGAAAGAAGCATCCTCGTGTTTCCAAGTTTTATCCATCTACAGTAATGTCTCTCTAATCGACGCTAAGATTGTCCACAAAAATGGCCAATTTGGAAAGAGGAGATACGATTATTCGAGCCTTGCGACTCGTTTTCATAGTTACCGATTCTCAACAATTATAAAAACGAGCCGCAAGCCTCGGATAATCGTATCTCCTCTTCCCAAATTGTCTATTTCTGTGCGTCAATCTGAGCGACAATCCGAGCGTCAATTAGAGAGACATTACTGTACTAATTTAATCTCCACGCAGGTCCAGAATGGGAAACATTCGTGGCTTCGGGGGCGGTCTGACCGTGAACTGGCACGAAAATTCGATCCGCTTGCAGCACCGTATCCTCGACAGGATGAGAGATCTAGGGATCATTCCTGTGCTTCCAGCCTTCGCTGGCCACGTTCCCAGAGCCTTCAAGAGACTGTTTCCCGAGGCGAACATGACCAAGTCCGGCGTCTGGAATCGTTTCGCGGATGGGTATTGTTGGTAAGCCAACGTGATCCCATAACTTCCGTCCATAGATTCCGTACTGAAAAAAACGAACCCTTATATTTCAGCCCTTATCTCCTGGCTCCCACGGATCCGCTGTTCCAGACCGTCGGAGCAATGTTTCTGAGAGTGGTACACGTTGTTTCTAGCACCGGATATAAGTCGAGTTCTTTCATTTCTAAGCAATTTTATTTGTTCGTTTGCTAGTACATCGAGGAGTTTGGGACAAACCACGTGTACAACTGCGACACTTTCAACGAGAACGAGCCAGAAACAGGGGAGCTGGCGTATCTGAGAAACATGGGACGCTCCGTCTTCGATGCTATGGTGCGGGTCGATCCTGAAGCAATATGGTAATCACGCTGACAATGCTTTGATCGCACCGGCGATTATTCGATGAAAAAGGATCGTGCGTTTATTCCAATAGGCTGATGCAGGGATGGCTGTTCTACCACGACCAGATCTTCTGGACCGCGCCCAGAGTCGAAGCCTTTGTGACTTCTGTGCCAATTGTAAGTAATTGTCACTCTCTTTCTCTCTCTATCTCTCACGCTCTCTATCTAACGCTTCCTCTCTCTCACGCTCTCTATCAAGCGCTTTCTCTCTCTCGCGCTCTCTATCTAGCGCTCTCCTTCTCGCGCTCTCTATCAAGCGCTTTCTCTCTCGCGCGCGCTATCTCTCTTTCGCTACCTCTCTCGCGCGCGCTATCTCTCTCGCGCGCGCTATCTCTCTCTCGCTCTCTCTCTCTCCCTCTCNCTCCTTCTCGCGCTCTCTATCAAGCGCTTTCTCTCTCTCGCGCTCTCCTTCTCGCGCTCTCTCTCTCTCGCTCTCTATCTAGCGCTCCCTCTCTCTAGCGCTCTCCTTCTCGCGCTCTCTATCTAGCGCGCTCTACTCTCGCGCTTTCTCTCTCTCGCGCTCTCCCTCTCGCGCTCTCCCTCTCGCGCGCTCTCTTTCACTCTCTCCCTTTCTCTCTCTCTCTCTCTCTCACCATCATTCTCCAATCCGACCATCGCTCACTCTTTTCAGGGCAGAATGATCGTGTTGGACCTCCAATCGGAACAGTTCCCTCAATACAACAAATTCGACTCCTACTACGGTCAACCCTTCATCTGGTGCATGTTGCACAACTTCGGTGGTACACTGGGCATGTTCGGGTCCGCGGGCATCATTAATCGCGTAAGTATATTGCGACCAAAAATGAGTTGTACGTGACAACGTGTGGAACTTTTCCTCCGGGTCACACCCGCGTCGGACCACATGGCCCTTGGGTCGCTGGATCCGCTTCGAGTACCCTTCGGAAACTCTCCTAATTTATGACGGTCTCTTTAGCTATTGAGGTATTTCTTAAAAAACTCTATTGCAAACATGTACTGTCAAGATTTGGGACTTGTCATCTCAAAAATAGCTTCTTCGAAGAGAATCATATATTACGCTGGCCGTTTGCACGAGGACTGAAGTTCCTATTGTGCGCACGACTGGTCGCTACAGTTTCAACATGTTTCCCTCTGCTCAGCGCGTTTTCCAAGCGAGAGAAATGCCGAACAGCACGATGATCGGCACCGGTCTGACGCCGGAAGGGATAAATCAGAACTACGTGATCTACGACCTAATGAACGAGATGGCCTACCGGCGGACACGCGTCGACCTGGATAAATGGTAAAGATAAATAGACGATAAAGTACACACCGTTTACCGTTGAACTTGCCTCTGACACTGTTGCCCCAGGTTCGAAGACTACGCCGCTCGAAGATACGGCGGGACGGACGAGAACGTCTCCGACTCCTGGAAGCTTTTGGGCAGAACGGTGTACAGTTTCACCGGCAATAGAAGAGTGAGAGGGCGCTACGTGATCACGAGCCGACCAAGTTTGAAGCTCGAGCCGTGGGTACGTCGGATCCGACACGATTTCGAGCTCTGTCACCGTCTCGACTTATATTTTTCTTTAGACCTGGTACAACCCGGACATGTTCGTTAAAGCGTGGTTGAACTTCATGACGGCGGCGCGTGAAATGGGGAACAATACTCTTTACAAGCACGACGTCGTCGATGTTACCCGACAGGCCTTGCAATTGAGAGCCGACGCGATTTACCTGGACTTGGTGAGGTCCTTCAACGGGGCCAATATTGTTGCGTTTAGGTAAGCATTTTTGCTCGCTTCGTAGCACATTCCTACATCTTGTCCATCGAGAGCGAGCAGGGGATGTGAAATAGGATAGGATTGTGGCGGTTACCTCCAGGCTTCGTCCTCCTTCCGGTGTCCCAACCTGCAGACAAGGGCCCGCCAGAAAAGCCTCACCGACGAGCGCTTTAGCGGCTCCCGGGCGCAGCGCTTCCCCCACTCCTCCTTCCATCGAAACCGCCGCCATTCCAGTACCGCCAGAAGCCTCACCGACGAGCGCTCTAGCGGCTTCCGGACGAAGCGCTCTCCCTTCCCCTTCCTCCGCCATTACAGCCGCCAAAGAGCGATCAGCCATCGTCTCGATCCGGTCCGCAGAGCGTCCGCTAAATCGTTGTTGGAAGTGTTCGACCATTTGGAGGACGTGTTGGCCAGCAGCGAGGACTTCTTGCTCGGTACTTGGCTGCGAGATGCTAAAAGCCACGCGGACGACGGCCTCGAGGAGATGCTGTACGAATACGACGCCAGGAATCAGATCACCCTGTGGGGCCCACGCGGCGAGATTCGGGACTACGCGAACAAACAGTGGGCCGGAGTCGTTGCCGATTACTTCAAGCCGCGCTGGGCTATTTTCTTGGAGTCCTTGGACGATGTTCTGGCCAAGGGCGAGAGGCTGAACATCACCAAGATCAACGAGAGGATCTTCAGGGAGGTCGAGAAGCCGTTCACATTCTCGCGGAAGATCTATCCGACCGTGCCGCGAGGTAAGTTATATTTCTCCCTAATTCGGGCCCAGATGGCGCACCGAAATGGACAAGTTGGGAACAGGGGATACGATTATAAGTTTTAATTGTAATTATATAGTATAATAATTGTTATTTATATATATAATATTAATATATATGATATAAGTAATAGATGATTAATAATATTATTATTAATAATAATATTAAATATTATTATATTATTATTATTATTATTAATAATAATATTAAATATTATTATATTATTAGTAATAATATTATTATTAATTAATAATATTATACGTTTTTATAGTTGTTGACAATCGGTAACTATAAAAACGAGCCACATGGCTCGCATAATCGTATCTCCTCTTCAAAGATTGATTGCTTTCAATATTTATGACGACGTCAACATTTAACTAGTGCATTTTTGTAATCGAAAGTTAGCACGAATCTTATCATTTAACGACAGAATTAATTTCAAACGATTTTCTATTTCATCAACGAACGTCGGATATCCGAACGAATGATTCGTGCCGATTTTCCCATAAGAGACACTATAAAATCCGGCACGAATTTTCCACTCCTTTGGAACGGCCCCCCGAATAGAAATTGTTCGCAGGCGACGCTGTCGAGACGGCGACCAGAATTTCGTCGAGGTGGACGAGGACCAGTTACGGGACAGAAGGAAGGAATCTTGATGGAAGACGATCGTACATCAACCAAGACGTTTAAACTTTGTAAAGATCGTTAATATTGTTAAAAGAGCATTCTACCATCGGATAGAATTACAGATTGAAACGGCGAAGATAAATTCGAGGGGGGCGTAGGGTTAATCGTAGATATCTAAAGAGACGGTAAAAAGGAATTATCGTTAACGATCGAGTGTCTAACTAAATACAGGTACATCGGGCACAGTAAAGTATCTAGACGTAAGAGAGTCGCGAAAGTGCTTTTCCGTTCGCCGGTGACATCGTCTTTCGCGTGGTTTAAACGGCGGTGTGGCAGTAGATGATCAATGGAACCGTCTTCGACTGACCGACCGCCTGTTCGCTGCGTGATGCAATTCAAAGAGAAATCATCGGTGAGAGATTGATTGTCGAGGGAAATCAACGTACGGCCCGGAAGATCTGTCGCTGTTGGTCGCCAATCCGGCCGACGTTCTCTCGCGACTTGTGTCCTGACGGTCTTCGGCAAGTTGGACCAGCGATGGCGAACCTATGACCCGCGGGTCAGACACTGACCCACGCGGGCTACTCAAATTACCCGCGCGATGATACTCATAAACTTATTTTTTTATATCATGAAAGAGAGAACGGGAAATCAGGAATATTAGAAAAATAAAGTACGTATATCTAATATCTAATAATGTACAGGGTGTCCCATGGTATCCCAGAGTCTTCCTGAGGTCATTTGAAGTAACTTTCTCCTTAGCGAAAATGTTCTACGAGGCTTCGTTTACGAGTTATTAGCGAAAAACAGTGACCAATGCAAGATCGCGTACGGCTGACGCTCCGCCCTCGCTACACCACTGCCGCTGCGTCAACTGGCCGGCGCCGCGCGGCATTGGTGGCGAGGGCGGAGCGCAGGCCGCGCTCGCTCGCCGATTGGTCACTGTTTTTCATTAATAACTCGTAAACGAAGCCGCGGAGAAAATTTTTGTAAAGGAAAAAGTTGCTTGAAATCACCTCAGGAACCCCTCGTGTCTCGGAAATGCCATAATTTTATTCTTCGCTCTACACTTGCGAAAGCAAAAGTTGCAAAATGAAACGCAAACCTTTTAGAGGACTTTAAAAGTGAGAACCAAAAGAAGTAGCCGATACCAAAGAAAATAATGAGCAAAATTGGACCCGCTTCTCAAAAAGGTTCGCCGTCACTGAGTCGGACCCTCGATTGGCCGCATTTCGGTTCGCGTTCTATACGAATCGCGATCGAAGAGCATTTGTGCACGCTGTTTTATTGCTCACGAAAGTTGCATCGGTGAATGGATTTCGTTCGAGCGAAGATCAGGAATCGTTCTAAAGAACATGTCGACGCCGTTGGCGAGGCCGCATCTCGACACGCTCGCGGCTACGAAATTTCTATGGGAATAGAAAATGAACGTCGATATTACGGTACGGTTGTCAATCGAGGGCCGGAGTTCTAGCTGCGATGGGCGCTTTACGATGTTGTCTCGGATAGATTGAGGAACATAGTGTGCATCTAATGTAATGTAAGGTACTAGAAGGTAATGTAAGGTACAAAATATCTTGTGCACTTTGTAAGAATATATCATGTGAGTAACACCTATAATTTCAAGAGAGAACAGTGGAGATGGACGCGGCGCGCGTCTATCCGCGACGCCGTGTAAAGGCGCGTTGCCACTGGCTTGGCTTTTGCCGATCGGCCATGCCGCGCGGCATGCCAAGGCAGCAGTTGGCGAAGCGGTTGGCTTCGATCGATGCCGAGCGGCTCGGAAAGCCTAATGGCTCGCAAAGCCGAACGGCTCGCAAAGCCAATCGGCTTGAAAAGCCGAATGGCTCGAAAAGCCCAATAGTTCAGTCGATGCCAAATGGCTCGCAAAGCCGAACGGCTCGCAAAGCCAATCGGCTTGAAAAGCCAATCGGCTTGAAAAGCCAATCGGTTTGAAAAGCCGAATGGCTCGAAAAGCCCAATAGTTCAGTCGATGCCAAATGGCTCGAAAAGCCGAACGGCTCGCAAAGTCAAACGGCTCGCAAAGCTGAACGGCTCGCAAAGTCAAACGGCTCGAAAAGCCGAATAGCTCAGTCGATGCTAAACGGCTCAAAAAGTCGAATGGCTCAGTCGATGCCAAACGACTGGAAAAGCCGAACGACTCGGTCGATGCCAAACGGCTCGAAAAGCCGAAGGCAACGCGCCTTGAGGAGGACTTTCGGCGGCACGCGACACCATTTCTTCGAGATTGCGATCCGATCTTCGTAATCGATCCCTAGGTACCTACTTTGGTGCATCGATTGTTCTCTCGTTGCTCCCGTTATCTCGGCATGCAAACGAACACGAAAATGTTGTAAATTCTATCTCGAAATGACACGCTGTTTCGCCGTCAAATTCTTGAGAACGTTTGAGTCAAACCTTGCTCGACGGTGTCGCGTACCGTCAGAATTGCCATAAATGTAAGATTCTAGGTTTCCGAACGATACATGTACCCGTAATAAGGTTGACGCAAGTGGCCCACCGACGCGATTTCGTCGCCGCGCGAAATCTACGAAAAAGACTGCTTCGACATCGATTTTGCATCGCTTACACATTTGTTTTTCTATCAGACACAAAAAAAAACACGACAAAATCCATTTCATAGAATTACATTTAGTTAAACAGCTATTTTATAAAATAGTTATTTTACACGGCTATTTTACAAAATAATTATTAGAACGACTGTAGTTAATAGAGCAACTATTTTATAAAATAGTTATTTTACACGGCTATTTTACAAAATAATTATTAGAACGACTGTAGTTAATAGAGCAACTATTTTATAAAATAGTTATTTTACACGGCTATTTTACAAAATAATTATTAGAACGACTGTAGTTAATAGAGCAACTATTTTATAAAATAGTTATTTTACACGGCTATTTTATAAAATAGTTATTAGAACAACTATAGTTAACAGAGCAACTATTTTATAAAACAGTTATTAAAATATCGTTACAAAACAGTTATCAAAATATAGTTATAAAAAAAATGGTTAATAAAATAAAATAAAATTACTGAATTACTAGATCAATGAATGGCAACGTTCGATCGCGCAGTTGAGCTGACGATCGGCCAGCTACGAAGGCGTCAAGTTTCGATCGTCGATGGCCACTGTGCATCGGTAGCGTCTCTAAAGAGCGTTCGCACGGCTACAGTAAACACTAGCGATGTAAAAGACTGGATAAACAAGACTGGAAATCGGTTGGCCCGCGTCGGCATCGAGCCGAGTCCCTCGATTATTCTCGCGCGGGAATCCTTGGGGCAGAGTTCGTGAGGTCGGGACGAGATATGATCATCGATTAGCATCCGGTAGTAAACTTGAGAAGCTACCGATCCTATTCATATACGTTTCTTATGGTCCCCCGGATATCTGTAAGGTCCGACGAAATCACGAATCTGACTTTGGTTGCTGTAACTTGGTCGCGTGCTTACCAAATAGGACTTAGGGCTATAAATCGTACTATAAAAGAGGAGTTAATTATTTACAATCGCCGCGCGCGTTCTCGTTGCGCCGGGTCCAGGAACGACGACGATTCCGAATCGATTTCGATCCCCCCATAAGAATAGTCCTTCCTCGACGTTCCTATTGTAATCCCGAGAATCTCCGATCTCGGCCAAAGCCCGAACGAAACGCGCGCTTTTAATATTTACAAACGAAATTTAGTCGGCGCGCTTTCGCGATGGGAAAAGTTTGCACGAACCTGCGCGCATTATTCCGTCATCGTTTTACAACAGAATGAATTGCAAATGAACGACAAATTGCAAAAAGTTACAAACGATATTCTATTTCATCCGCGAGAATGTCGAAAATATATCCGAACGAATGATTCGCGCCGATTTTTGCGTAAGAGGCAACGTAAAATCCGGCACGAATTTTCTGCTGCTTTCGAACTGTCTCTCCGAATAGCACCGCATACAGCGATGTCTCCCTAACTGACGCTATGATTGTGCACAAATTAGAGAGACATCACTGTATCTCGCAGTGCCGGAACGCAGAGAAACTGTTCGCTAAAGTATTATATTTATATTTCAATTTTCAGCGTGTCGCGGGCGAAGCCGTTGTTGCTAACTGTTGCTCTGCCGCTGCACGGACCGCGATAAGTAACAAGTAAACGACGACAAATGTAATCTTTGCGCACGTTATCGTCGCAACAAAGTCCCCGAACGCTTCTGCGCTCTACAAAATCGCTCGCGGTTCGCCATTTCGCGATATCTCGCGGCATTCTCCGCGCACAGAGCGCGAAACCTTCGCCGGACGCTTTATAACAAGATGCATTTCTCTATGAACGAACACGGAACGGTTCGAGCCGGTCGTTTCGCCGGACCCAGCGCGTACGAAACGACAAAAGTATTCGGACGAAACACAAGCCTGAACGGTGAATCGAACGTACAAAAAGTGTCTCGCCGAATGTAAAATGACGGGGGAAGTTCTATATATGCTCGGTATCCGGCATCATCGGAAAAACGCGCGAACAAAGCATCGAAATCATTTCTCGCTCATGCGCGGTGCTAACAATACGAGCTACGATACAAACAATGTCGTTGTTTCGTGCGGCTGCTTGGTCTGAGCCTCTCTTACAAAATACAGCTAAACGTGCATACAAAATACGGCTAAGTTTCTTCTCTCCGCCTATTCAGGGGACGACGCCTAGCTAAACTTCGGTAAGTAAAACGCCGGGTTGCCTCGCGGGGTTAATAAATCGATTCTTCCGGCGACTTTCGCCGCGTCTCCTTCGGCCTCTTCGACCTCTCTTCGGCCTCTTCGTTCTCCATTCGAAGAATGCGACAATAGTCGATCGAGCCTCGACGGCCTAGAAGAACCAACAACGGAAATATCTCTCTGCTTTTGGGACTTGGGCGACACGATTCGCGGACAGTTCGCGCCGTGTTCGCTCTCATCTCGAGCCATGATTTATCTGGAGCCTCGCAACTTGCTCTTCAGGCATCGCGGAAGAGAAATGCCCGAATCTTCGTGGTGAACCTTGACCCCTTTCGGACGAAGCTCCGGCATCGACGAAGCTCGACGATCGGATAAGTACGTTCTCAAAGCGTTTAAGGCGAGTTCATAGCTGCCGCTGCGCGTCTTCGGAGGCTCTTCGGTCTCTTCCTGGTCTGAAAAATCGTCAGGGTCTTCGGGGAACTCCGACGAAAGGAGCACCGCGGCTCGGAGCTTCTCGCACCCTTTTCATCGGCGGCCGGCTCGATGGCTAGTTCTCTCGACCCGGTCGAGATATCGGAATCGTCGGTGATATCACCGTCGGTCCGTCTCGGATTCCTGACTGGACGCTTCTGTGACCGGTGGCAGAGGGCTGTCGATGGACATCTGCCTGAAAAACGGGACACTTTCGAGACAATCTTCTTCGTCGAAACGCGACTCTGGCGACGATACTGTGCGACTATGAACGAGATTACGCCGAAAACAAAAGCATAACAGGGAGACCAACGTTCTCGTGTAAAGAAAATCCGACATTTCGCATGCAGCAACCTAATAGATTAACCCTTTGCACTCGAAGCCATTTTAACTGTGAACCTAAAATAATTTCTCTGACCTACGCTGTCTCTATTTTATATTACAGGGCGCGTTTTATGCGCGTGAAATTCTGTCTTGCGACTTATACAACAGTTATACTGTTAACAATCCTTCAAATCTAAATTTTCTTGATGTAAGAATTATTTTGGAACGCGATACAAACATTTTTTCAGCGGCGCCTCGGAGTCACCGCTCGAGCGCAAAGGGTTAACAACCCCTATCGCCGACCCCGGCAAAGCGCGCCGGGCAACCAACCTGCCATTAGTTTGCCAGTCGTAGGAGTCCGGGGCAGAATTGCTTCTTCCGGTCCGCTGGAACCTCTCCGACTTGGCGTTCCTGGCCGGTTTCCTCGGGAGCAGAGGCTCCTCGGTCCTGGGGGACGACGAGATCTCGAGGCTGCCGACCGCGGCGTCGGAGCAGGCGGTCTTGCCGCTCTTCCTCGGCAGGAACGGGTTCTGTAACCGAGGATAAATCATTCCGCGGCTGGGTAGAGACACCGAAGACAGAACGGAAAGCCCTTCGCGGGGTCGCGAAGCTCCGTTCGAGTGATATCGATTGCCGCGCGTCAAATAACGAGAGCCGCGGCCGATCGCTCCGGGCGACGGATAGCTTTCCCGGCAGAAAAGCGCGAGGACGCTTGGCCTCCCGCTGGAACGGATCAAATGGCGATGGTAATTGAAATTCAGCAGTCGACGCGCCGTCGTCGCGGCGAAATCGACGGACGTTATTTGACGCGAGGGGCTTCGATGCGCCGCGCTGCCTGCGAGATTGTTGCGTTGGCGGGTAGGTAATTTTTCGGTATTTCAATGTTAAATAGAACTCAGTATTTTCTATTCTTCACAAGACTATTCTATACACTTTTGGATCCTTTGTTTGGGCGCTGCCAGTCGTCTTGGACCGAAGGGTGCTTTCTTTTTAGGCGGCGTCAATTCCCAGCGACTGGAAGCGAATGGGAAAAGTCATGCGACCGACGGTATCAAAGCGGTATCTCCTCTTCCAAAATTGTCCATTTTTCTCCGCGATCGTGTCCATTTTTCTGGACAATCCGAGCGTCAATTAGAGAGACATTACTGTAGTTCTCAGGGACTGAAAGCGAATGGGAAAATCATGGGACCGACAGTGTCAAGGCTAAAAAATAATGCCGGTGTTGTGAAGTCAGTGGAAAAGCCTGGAAAATCGGCTCCGAAAGTTCCGAGGTCCATGCTTTTCCCATTCGCTTTCAGTCCCTACAGTAATGTCTCTCTAATTGACGCTCGGATTGTCCAGAGAAATGGACAATTTGGGGAAAGGAGACACGATTGTTCGAGCCTTGCAACTCATCGTTATAGTTACCAATTATTAAACGATTATAAAAAAAAAACAAGCTGCAAGGATCGAACAATCGTATCTCCTCTTCCAAAATCATCCATTCTTCTCCAAAATCTGAGCGTCAGTTTGGGAGACAGTGCTGTACCGTCCAAAAAGAAAGCACCCTATCGGTCCAAGACGACTGGCAGCGCCCAAACGGAGGGTCTCGTTGGATCGCGGACCAGATTCCGGATCAAAGTAGCATCGAAAGGAAGGCGATCCATCGACGGGTCTGTCTAACAGCACAGCGGCGCGTTGGTCCGCGGGAACAAAGGGCAGCGGGGAATTTTGCGAGGGGCAGAAACTAATCATCGAATTCCGATAATTGTTGTGTGCTCTGCGCGAACTTCCTCCTCGGCGGGAGAAAGCCGAAGTCCGGAGAGTAGGACTGTCAGCCCTCGGCACGGCTCCGTTCGCATTGTTACCGGCGCCCAATTAGACCCCGTCGACGACATCGAAATCGTCGACGTCGCGATACAAAGATCGACTCGGTTACCTGGAAGCTGTGCTGCTTCAGCATCGTCTTGATCAGGATCAGAGTGTCCAGCTTTGGTATCCTGGTGACCACGCTCCCCTCGCGCACCTCCTCGTCCGTGACGGTCACCGGAAGCCGGCAATTGTCGGCCTCGCTTGGCAGTGGTTCGGCGCTGCGATTCGTCAGCCAGGGGTGCTCCTTGATGGCGGACAACGTCACCCTCTCCGCCGGATTCTTCTCCAGCATCCGCGAGATCAGTTCCCGGAGGTCGTCCGACAGGATTGGTTCATCGGGGAATCGCAGGGGCTCGGTTCGGACAGCGGCTTGCACGCCGATTATGCTACCGGAACCGTACCATGGCACTCTGCCGGTCACCAACGAGTAGAGAGTCACGCCCATCGACCAGACGTCGCACAACTGAAACAATTCGAAACGCTCTGGAATCGAATCTCTTGGTAATTGTTGGTTAGACGCGAATGGCGTCTTTTGGGGATTTTTTATGTATTGGGGAAAGTGTGTCGATCACTGTGTCGATCATTGTGTCGATCATGTGGCCCAGGAATTGCATTCGAAAACGTGTCATGTGGCTTTCGAATTACCCTCGAATTGCCTTCGAATTTCCTTCGAATTGCCCTCGAAGTGCCTTCGAATTTCCTTCGAATTGCTTTCGAATTGTTTTCGAATTTCCCTCGAATTGCCTTCGAATTGCTTCCGAATTGCCTTCGAATTTCCTTTGAATTGCCCTCGAATTGCCTTCGAATTTCCTTCGAATTGCCCTCGAATTTTCTTCGAATTTCCTTCGAATTGCCTTAGAATTGCCTCCGAATCGCATCACGTGGCCTCGGAATCGCCTCCGAATCGTGGCAAAAAATTAGAAACAAATAATCAAGTCATCGTCTAGTCCCTGCCCACAGATGGGCTAAACTGGGCGAGAGAACGGCGTAGTCGATAAGGTCGCGCGATAAGTCTAAAGTCTAGACTATAATCTGCGCGATATAGATAATCAGTGGCCGAGAATAACGTTAGTCCACCGCAAATTACACGCTTGCCGATCCGACGGGGGTGTAACAACGCGCTGCCGGTGTTAATTCCGTTGTACGTACGCTCGGCCAGCGGAAAGATACTCGCCGCGGCTTCTGATCGCGCGCTCAGATTGCCATATTCGGGGCACGCCCGTTCAATTCCGAGCAAGATCCATCGCGGGTAATTACCGTTCGTCTCGGCGGATCTCGCCGAGAACGTCGCGACCGCTGAAATATCTGGTCGATTCGGTCCGAAGCGTCGGTTCGTCGCGACTTCGGCGCCGATTCTCGCGATCTACGACGACCGTTTCGAGAGAAATTCGCGTCGTCTCCCGGCTCGCGAGTATTCCGCAGGATTTATTCGCCGGCTCGCCGCTGGAAACCGGCGAGTTACGCGACGGAGATAAACCCGCGACGCGGCCGCTACTACATTTTAACGAGGGGAGCGCGGCGGCCGCAACCTAATTTCTTGAGTGGCAACTTTCCGTACTTCAAGTTCACCTGCATATTTCACGATACCGCGAAGAAATCGATGCCGCGTTTCCCGAGGTGTGCGACTCGTTCCATAAAGTTTTCCCGTTGCGGCCCGCGTACGTGCGCGAGAACGTTAAACGTCCTCAGAAAACTTTTCGACGCGGAGAGCCCGGCCGTCGTTCGATCGGCTGTAAGAAACTGTCGACGATGTCGCGAACTTTCGCGGGGCCCCGAAGATTGTCCCTCGTTCTCCGAGATCGACGAGACGATTTTATCTACGTGGACGGGTCGCTGGAAACCGGCGATAGATGAAACTTGAAACGGCGCAGGCACGTTTACAGCCGACGTTAATTTCGCCGACGATGTTATTATTATTAATGCACTGGAGCGCTGCATTCGACGCGGCAACTCGAGAGGCGAGTCCCAAATTTGTGATACTACCGAGAACCGCGGGGTTCCCGAGGTCATTTAGAGCAACTTTTTCCTCAGCGAAAATTCAATCCGTCGCTTCGTTTGCGAGTTATTAACGAAAAACCAGCGACCAATGAGAGGCGAGCGCGGCCGACGCTACGCCCGCGCGACCACTGTCGCTGCGTCAGATGGCCGGCGCGGCGTTGCATTGACCGCGAGGGCGGAGCGTCGGCCGTACGCGATCTCTCATTGGGCAGTGTTTTTCTTTAATAACTCGTAAACGAAGCCGCGGAGAGAATTTTTGTAAAGGAAAAAGTTGCTTGAAATGATCTCTGGAACCTCTCAATTCCCGTTAGAACAATAATTTCGGGACATCCTGTACAATACGCATTTCGTTGGCGTTCCCACAATCCAGCACGACCGCGCACAATCGCGCCAATCCGGCTCTCTGATTAATCATCGATAATGGACGCTCTAACGGAAAGTTAATTTGCTGATAAATAATTCACATTCCGATCCCGTAGCTCGTCGCTGCATTAACCCGTTTCCCGCGGGACCGTTCTTCCCGCGGCCTCGGCTCGCGTAAATTGCAGAGTTATTTACTATGAAAGCGAAGCGCGACGCACGCAGTCGAATAAAATGAGTTTGCGTTGCGTGGCCGATTTTATTGATCCCCTCGCGTTACCTCTTCCGCGAACAGCCGAAATTTCTGGTAATCAGTTTTCGAGTGCCTACGGTTGATCATCGGCGCGGTTTCCTTTATCGAGGAGAGATCGTCGAACCGCGTACAGTTGCTCGCAAAATCAGCGTACACCCGAGTCGATTCGGATATTTTTGCGAATATTTTATGTTTCCTTTTTCCTTTATTTTCCCGCTAATCGTCCGTAGCCAGCTCGAGCGTACGCTGAATTTTGCGAACAACGGTACACCCACATATGATAAAACGATTTCATCGAATCGCGCCGGGAATTTTCTGATTCGCCGCGACCGCGTGAAATCCGCGCGTGTACTATTGTAATTCTCGATCCATTACCGGTCGTAATGGATCAGCGATTCGCGAATCGCGGAAAGTTAAGCCGACGGGTTTCCGATCGATTCGGCTCTTCGTAATCGAATGCGCGCCGGTCGGCCGACGACGAATCGATCGTAGGACCGTTTTAATATGGTACTCACGGTTCCGGAATAATGGGCGCCAGGTGTGGTTGTTTCGGGTGCCGCGAACGCCGGTGTACCAGCTGGCCCAGACAATAATTCTCCGGACGCCCTCAATTCCGCGCTGACTCCCAGATCGGCGATCTTGATCCGGTCGTCGCTGTCCACCAGCAGGTTGCTAGGCTTTATGTCGCGATGCACTATCCGCTGGTAGTGCACTGAAACGTCGAACGCCGGAACGGAAAAGTTAATTAACGCGGGCTGCGCGAATAGTTCACGGCTGGGCGATGAGAGGACGCGAGTCGCGGCGTGATGGAAGAGGTGAAATGGGAGCGAACGACAAGAGAGACGGATGGACAGATGCGAGATTGTACTGCTAGCGCGCGGCGCACTAATTTCTCCCGGAAATGCCATATATCGGGTTGCTGGGAATTTCGCTGTGCTAGATCGACGCCTGTGTAGTTTAGTGCTAACTCGATGCTAAGGGTATGATAATTTTAAAATGTTTGTGAATTGAACATTGCAATTGGCCTGGTGGACTTTGATCGTGCGATTTGGATTGTTAGAATTCGAACGTTCGAATTCGCATAGTCGAATTGGTCGGATGCGATTGGAATGTTCGGACCGGTTCGTATAATCGAATAGACGGGCGCGAATTAGAGAGAAATTACTGTACTAGATACGTGTCTGTCGAATCATGGTATGTGGCCTCCGAATTGCCTTCGAATCGTGTCACATGGCCTCCGAATTGTGTCATGAGAATTGCCTTCTAATTGCTCTCGAATTGCCTTCTAATTGCTCTCGAATTTCCTCCGAATTGCTTTCGAATTGCCTTTGAATTGTGTTGCATGGCCTTCGAATTATCTTAAAATTGCCCTCGAATTGCCTTCGAATTGCTTTCGAATTGCCTTCGAATTTCTTCCGAATTGCTTTCGAATTGCCTTCGAATTGACTTATAATTGCCCTCCAATTGCTCTCGAATTGCCTTCGAATTCCCTTCGAATTGCTTTCGAATTGCCTTCGAATTTCCCCTAAATTGCTTTCCAATTGCCTACGAATTTCCTCTAAATTGCTTTCGAATTGCCTTCGAATTGTATCACGTGGCCTTCGAATTGCCTTCGATTTGCTTTCGAATTGCCTTCGAATTTCCTTTGAATTGCCTTCGAATTGCCCTCGAATTGCTTTCGAATTGCCTTCGAATTACCTTCGAATTTCCTCCGAATTGCTTTTGAATTGCCTTCGAATTGCTTTCGAATTGACTCCGAATTACCTCCGAATTGCCTCCGAATGCCGTCACGCGACCTCCGAGCAATCCTGGGAGAAATTATTGTATCCGCTCGACTTCGAAATATTCTGGTAAATTGGATTGGATCAAAGTACATTGGTTTCGCGAAGAAAAATATGAGAAAACGTAGGCTTCGTAGGGGGGATACGATGGGATATCGCTTACGACTTACGATATTCGACGCCCATCACCACGTCCCTGAAGTGTTTCCTGGCAGTCTCCTCGTCCAGGGGCTTCTCGGTGGGAATCTGAAGTATCTCGCCCCTCTGAACCAGCTCGAAAACAAGATAGAGATTGTCCTCGTCCGGATCGTCGAGAACCTCGACCAGCTTCACGACGTTAGGGTGATCCAATTTTTTCAGCAACGCGATTTCCCTGTAGACCTTCGCCAGGGGGTCCGCGGCGCCCTTCCTACCCGGCGCCATTCTACCGAAGATCCCCGCCTTCTTCATCAGCTTCTTCTTGCTGAGGATCTTCATCGCGTAGTGAGTGTCGTCCTCCTCGTTGTAAGCCAATTTCACGATGCCGTAGGAGCCCTGCCGGCGACAATGAAATTAAGGCGATCGGACAACTGCTAATTTTGCTGGAACCGTTCCACGAAACGGAGAGCAAATCTTTCGAGCGATCGAGGAACTGAAACTATCTGGACCACGGATTTTATGGTTTTATGGCAACGCGGGTAAGTGGAACTGAAAGCAGTGAGAAGATTGGAGAGAGATAAAAACGTTGGTGTACCAGTTTCAGCTTATTAGGTTTGTTAACGCTAGATTTACGGAGTCCGACAAAATGGCGGATCATTAATTTATGTGTTACTTTCAGCAAATGTTACAATAACAATCGTTGTTGATAAAGATCAGGATAAATGTCTTATTGTTACTTTTACAAACTGATATGAAACAGCTGTTATCATTATTAGCAGCTCTATAAGAGCTGGAAAACTTCTTGTTAGTTTAAAAATTTCGACATTTTACTTCTTTCGTTATTCTGAGCAATCGCGATTCTCCGGGAAATGCCAAATCTCGGGTTCCCGTGAATTTCGCGGTGCTGGTGCTGCGCCTATGTAATTTATTGCTACGTGGGTGCCAAGATTCGGCGGACTGCCTTCGAATAGTGACAAGTGGCCCACGAATTGCCTCCGAATAGTGTCACGTGGCCACCAAATCGTCTCCCAATCATGACAAAAAATTAAAAATAAAAAGATTAAGTATTCTCAGATCTGCGCGTTTCGATTCCAACTTCAAACATTTCTGAGAGAAATTACTCTAGTCCCTCAAACATCTACAAGACATCCTCCTTTTCGGCAAAAGTTTGAAGAGATGTTCGAGCCCATCCGGACCCAAAAAATCAGTCCCAAGTATCCAAATATCTAAGCACCTGGCCAATGTTGTCCAAGAGCTTGTATTGATTCAGCTGCAAAGCGCCCTGCCTGTTGTCGATGGACACCCTTCTGCTCTCCCTGAGCGGTCTCCGCCTGTTCCTGGGCGATCCTTGAGGACTTCCATACGGAGAATAAGGACAGTAAGGGTAGATGGGCCTGACCGTGATGCCGGCGTCGCCGAGGAACCTTTGTCCGGTCGCTGGCTCCCCGAGCAAGGGCCCGGACCCTTTCTTCGCTATCGAATCGTCGGTGATATCGGCGAAGAGACCAGTGTTCATGTCACTGGAGACGCTGGTGCTGAGGGTCAGCGTGCTTCCTGGCTGCGCGGACGAGTCGTCCTTGGACTCGTCTGTCAACAATATGGACTGCTGCGGGTCATCGTGCTTCGATATCTGCAGGGATATCCTCCTGTCCGCTAAGTACAATTCTCTGTCGGTCCTGTCTTCCGACTGGGTGGACAGCAGCTGGTACACCTGTTGGGTCATGTCAAGGTTATTGCTTGAAAGAAGTCGAAGGGGCCAGGGGTTTTTAGCTCTGAGTGTACCAGCGATGGCGAACCTATGACCCGCGGGTCAAATGCTGACCCACGCAGGTTTCTAAATGACCCACGCGTTGATCTTTATAGAGCTATTTTTTGTATCACGAAAGAGAGAACGGACAATCAAAAATATAAAAAAAGGTATATATATATATATATATATATATATATATATATATTTTTTAAATATTTTTTACTGTTCTCTCTTTTATCATATAATAAATGTATATATGTTGTATATATGTATATGTATATATAGGTGTTCCTGAGGACGTATTTCAAGGTATGTAATCGCAATCTATGTCAAATAATTTACCAGCATCAATTCCGAATATTAACAAAGAAGAAGTTAATAATAAGTTAATAATAAATTCTCCCTAGTTCTCGCTCAGATTGCACACAAAAATGGACAATTTCGGGAGAAAAGATACGATTACTCGAGCCTTGCACCTCGTTTTCCCAATCGTTGACAATCGTCAACTACAAAAAAATGGCTCCAATAATCCCATCTCCTCCTCTCCCCAAATTGTCCACACTTCTTTACAAGCCGAAGAAGAATCTTCCAGAATTCCCTGTATATAATTTCTAGCACACCTTCACCGTTCGCGGAAGATTCTTCGACTCCTCGTCCTTGGCGGCCGCCGGCGACGTTCCGTCGATCCGAAGCTTCTCGATGTCGATGCTCAGCCCGGTTCGATCCCGGGTCAGTCCGGTCCCCGCCGCCATGTCCCGATCGCTCGATGGAATCTCCAGGCAGACTATCGGGTTTTGAGGAGCCGGGTTCGTCGGGCAGGTCGTGGCGGGATCGATCGATCCCACGCTGCCGCCCACGAATGGATCTCGGTATTCAGGAGTGACGCAACCCTTTGACGCCTGGAGGGTTTCGGTGTCCGATTTTGGTGGCACTCGGGGATCCGGGCCGCGTTCCGGCGGGCATCGCGCCTCCTCTGCGGGCAGAACCGTCGCTATAAAATCGTCCGCGGAACTTTCAGCGACGACGAAGGCATCGACGAGGCATCGAGACAAGTTCTCGGAAAGATTGAAACGGCCTTGAGAAAAGAGAGGAAACTCGGTTGAACGAACATTGCGAATCGGGGTGCTTCGGAGACCGGCGAAGCTGGAGGAACCTCTCTCTCTCTCTCTCGCTCGCTCGCTCGTTGCAAGCTCCGGGAGAAGCTTCCAATAAGCTCGAAACGCGAGAACAGGAAACGCGCGGCTCGAATATCTCAGCTCACCGACGCCGACGCGCTCCAGCAGGCTGCAGAGGGTGCTCGGGGTGTCCTTGGGTGCCGGCTCGTCCCTCAGCTCCTTCGCCTCCTCGATGTTCGGCATGTCTAGACCCGCGCTGGACAGCTTCCGGTGCAGCTCCGTGGTCGGCATCCTGTCCAGCAGCGCGTCCGCTTCCTCGGTGAGGCTGTCCCCGGCCCTGCCGACCAGCAACTTCGAGTTCAAGCGCTTCGGCCCGGCGGAGGACCTGCGCCTATCCTTCACGAACAAGGACAGATCCTGCAGCGCGTCCGCCGTCGAGCTGCGCCGCTCCTCGTCGAAGGTGCCCAGGTTGCTGGCGTACCCGCTGCTCTCCCGCCTGGGCCTGATCACCCTGGGGCCCCTCGACTTGAGGATCTCGCGGAGCGTCGGCAGGCCTTCGGGCTCCTCGAGGAACAGGGCGCTGTCCTTGCGGACCTCGACGATCTCGCGGTCGGTCGCGTCCTCGGGGCTCGAAGAGGACCCTGAAGAATCCCCTTGGTCCCTCGTCCCGGCCTTAGACCCCTCGCGGGGGAGCTTGATGGTCACCTTGCCGTCGGCGTCGCTCGATCGCTCCGAGGCTCGGAGCTTCGGCTTCAAGCTGTCGGGCGAGTCCCGCGCGAGTTTTTTGGAGATCGCGGGATCAGCCGACGAGTCGCGGACCTCGAAGGTCAAAGGTCCCACGGCTTTCTCCGAGTATTGGAAAGCGGCGTCCGGCCTTCGCAGATCGAACCTGCGGATGCCGGAGAAGCGCTCGCCGGAGTCTAATGGGAAAACGATGTTCCTCGGGGCGTCCAGCGACGCGTCCAGAGGGTCCCTCGGGTCCTGAGGAGCCGGCAGAGTTCTCGACACCGACCCCGGCGACCCCTCGTCCACCGCCGTGTGCCTGCAACAACGGAGATCTCGTTGAGAACGTCGCCTTGATCGAGAGATGTTCGCGCGGCTTCGGTCAAGGTTCATTGTTCGCGAGCCGCGGAAACGGTTCGCCGATGTTTTTCAGCTTACGAGAGGCTGACAAGAGTGTTTACGACGCCGCCGGGTTATGTAGAGCGTGAAGGATGCCGGATGAATAATTCATGGGCTGGCTTGTACTTGCGTCTACGGAGCTGAATCTTTGCTGTTTTGTGGCGGATGCCGCGAAGCGTTAGCGGCCGTCGTCGAACCGCGCGCGTTCCGCTCGAGGGAAAAATTGAGCGGCGTCTACGACGAAGGTGAAAACGATGCTGCGATGATGAGAAGGGCGGGAGATGTTGTCTCGAGAGCTTCCATAAAATTAGATCGGAACGCGGGAGAGTTTTTTGGTGCAGCGGAGAGCGCAATTTGCGTCGATTCGAGAGCCGATGAGTATAATAAATTCTTCCTAATTGACGCTCGGATTGGGCGCGAAAATTGGCAATTTGAGGAGAGGAGGCGCGATTGTTCGAGCCTTGCGGCTCGTTTTTTATAGTTACCGGTTGTCAACAAGTATAAAAATGAGCCGCGAGGCTCGAATAATCGTATCTCTTCTTCTCTAATTGTCCATTTTTGTTTAGCGATTGTTTGAGCCTTACGGCTCGTTTTTTATAGTTACCGGTTGTCAACGAGTATAAAAACGAGCAACAAGGCTCGAACAATCGTATCTTGTCTTCCCAAATTGTCCATTTTTGCGGACGATCTGAGTAATACCTTCGAAAGTAAGGTGCAAGTTTTACGCGGACACGTTGCAAAATTGCTAAGTCAACAGAGAATCACGTGGTATCCGGTTGCGGATTAAGACTGGTTTAAATTTCGGTATCGGTCGCGGTACGAGTCGCACTCGAGCGACGAATCAATCCCTCTGGAAAACAAATTCCAGTTGTTTTTCGGCGGTAGGACACGAAATCCTTGACAGGGGAGCGGAACAACGATCCAATTTGCGTCCCGGACGTTTGAACGATGCTTCGCGCACAATCTCGTCGCGATATCCTCTGCGTCACGGAAATCATCGATGCGTTTCCCGTCGATTCTATTGTTTCGAGATTTCGCTCGTTCCCGGCGCGGCTGATTGATGGGGCTCCCCCGTTCGAACGGGGGACATTTAACGAGAACGATCTCCGTCGAGCGCCGAAATCGCCCCTGAAAGTCGGTCGCGTCCTCCTCATTTCCGCGCCGACTAAACCATCGTCGGTCCGGTTCGAGCTTCGATCGAATGGATTAAAATTTTCCAGCTGGAAATTTCGACGTCCCCGCGTTCCGCGCGTTCGTTGAATATTAGGTCGAACGAATCTCTGGAGGAAAAACGTCTTTAATCAGTTTTAGCTGACGAGTTTATTTCGACGAGTATACTCGTTATGGAGAAGTGGCAGTATTTTGTGTCACGACGAGTAAAAAAGTAGCGAGGATTGACTATTTAAATTGTAATTTTAGTGAAAACAGAAACATATTATTATATATTTTTATCATATAATTTATATCATATCATATCATATGAATAATAAATAGTATATATATAATATTATAATAATATTACATATTTATATAATATAAATAATAGATACCATATATAATATTATATATAATATATTCGAATAAGAAGCAATCTATTGCTGGAATGAACATTTATTTGCACAGTATTTTAATTCAGAAAAACAATCGATTTCAATAACGATAGCAATTTGAATGATAAAGTGTTTCTTTTCTCATAGTTTATTGACTAGTTCCTTTCATGTTAATTTTACCATTTAACTGTTTTTTCTTTCAGATGATGTATCGACAAGTTTTTGTTACTTTCGAATAAGATGATTATCCTTGCATCACTAAATAATCGTTCTACGGGTGCAAAGGTAGCCGCCGTAGATTCGACGATTCATGTCTATAAGGACGCGCGTTTATGCGATTATTGTCGCCGTTGCGTGTTATCGTTGTAAAAATAACGAGTCTGTAATCAAATGCAGTATCGTCAACAGAGCAGCGAATACTGAAACGGTACGAAGCGTATTTATACACATTATTTATGCGCAATGCATGTGTGTTATATTATTACACAGTTACTTAAAAATAAGAACAGTCAACGATTATTCGCATTATTATTCGAATATAGAAGTAAAAATTATTCCAACAAATAGGCAGAATAATTGAAAAAGCCAAGGCTATTAGAGAGTCCCAGAAGCATAGCCTTTCAAAAGTGCCAGTATCCAGGTAGCTTGGAATTGAAAAAGCCTAGGATTCTAAAACTGTAGAGTTCTGAAAGCTCAGAATTGAAAAAGCCAAGGCTTTCGGAGATCTGGAATCCTAGAAGCCTGAGGTTCCAAAATTCTAGAGTTCCAAACGCTCAGAATTGAAAAAGCCAAGGCTCTCGGAGACCTTGAATCCCAGAAGATTAGAATTCCAAAACTCTAGAGTTCTGAAAGCTCAGAATTGAAAAAGCCAAGGCTCCCGGAGATTTTGAATCACAGAGGCCTAGAGTTCCAGAACTCCGGAATCCCGGCAGCTCAGAATTGAAAAAGCCAAGGCTCTTGGAGATCTGGAATCCCAGAAGCCTAGGGTTCCAGAAGTCTCAGAGCCCCGACGGCTCAGAATTGACAAAGCCAAGGCTTTCGGAGATCTGGAATCCCAGAAGCCTGAAGTTCCAAAAGCTCAGAATTGAAAAAGCCAAGGCTTTCGGAGATCTGGAATCCCAGAAGCCTGAAGTTCCAAAAGCTCAGAATTGAAAAAGCCAAGGCTTTCGGAGATCTGGAATCCCAGAAGCCTGAAGTTCCAAAAGCTCAGAATTGAAAAAGCCAAGGCTTTCGGAGATCTGGAATCCCAGAAGCCTGAAGTTCCAAAAGCTCAGAATTGAAAAAGCCAAGGCTTTCGGAGATCTGGAATCCCAGAAGCCTGAAGTTCCAAAAGCTCAGAATTGAAAAAGCCAAGGCTTTCGGAGATCTGGAATCCCAGAAGCCTGAAGTTCCAAAAGCTCAGAATTGAAAAAGCCAAGGCTTTCGGAGATCTGGAATCCCAGAAGCCTGAAGTTCCAAAAGCTCAGAATTGAAAAAGCCAAGGCTTTCGGAGATCTGGAATCCCAGAAGCCTGGAGTTCCAAAACTCTAGAGTTCCTAAAGCTCAGAATTGAAAAAGCCTAGGTTCTCGGAGATCTTGAATCCCAGAAGCTTAGGCTTCCAAAACTCTAGAGTTCCAAAAGCTCAGAATTGAAAAAGCCAAGGCTCTCGGAGAACTGGAATCTCAGAAGCCTGGGCTTCCAAAAGTCTCAGAGTTTCGACAGCTCAGAATTGAAAAAGCCAAGGCTTTCGGAGATCTGGAATCCCAGAAGCCTGGAGTTCTAAAATTCTAGAGTTCCGAAAGCTCAGAATTGAAAAAGCTAAGACTTTTGGAGATCTGGAATCCCAGAAGCCTGGGCTTCCAAAAGTCTCAGAGTCCCGACAGCTCAGAATTGAAAAAGCCAAGACTCTCGGAGATCTGGAATCCCAGAAGCCTGGGCTTCCAAAAGTCTCAGAGTCCCGACAGCTCAGAATTGAAAAAGCCAAGACTCTCGGAGATCTGGAATCCCAGAAGCCTGGAGTTCTAAAATTCTAGTGTTCTCCGAAAGCTCAGAATTGAAAAAGCCAAGGCTCTCGGAGAACTGGAATCTCAGAAGCCTGGGCTTCCAAAAGTCTCAGAGTCCCGACAGCTCAGAATTGAAAAAGCCAAGGTTCTCAGAGATCTGGAATCACAGAAAGCTCGACTTCCAAAGCTCCAAAATCCATATAAAAACTCCCTAGAGAATCTCAGGATACCTAGAAAGAATGTTCTAGAATTTCAAAAGCTCGATCTTCCAAAACTCCAGCGACCCGAAAGCTCGGAACTCGATAATCCCAGGATCCCAGGGACTCGAAGTCCCCGAAGCACTTCGCACTCGGTCTCCTCGATCGGCGACACAAATTCAAACGAATCGGGGCCGCGCACGGCCAACAAGCTCGCGTTTAGAGCCTCGGGAGACTCGGCGCGCGATCCCATTAGCCCGAGACAAGGTTCCGAACGAGCGAGGTTCATCAAAGTTCGGGGACCAGTTTCCTAAATAGTTGTAACGTCTGGCTGACCTTAATCGTTCGGAGTTCGAGGATGCGGGATCGAGGTGGTCCCGGGTTCTCGCCGTGTGACCGTGCATCAAGTTCTCCTAACAATGGCCGGCAGAAGTAGCGGGATAACGACCCGACGCCCTTTTCCCAGCTTGTCCGAAAGTTTTCGGCGAGGCGATACCGCGCCAGTGAATTTCCTTAATGGCGGCAGACGCAAGTTCGCGACGTAAATTCTTCGGCATGCAAAGTGCCTCGTGAATTAGGGCTTGGGAACTTCGGGTAGACCTTGCCGAAGATCAGGCACGAAGACGGTGTCTCGAAGGTGGCATATTTCGCAAGATATATTTTTGTATATGTTATAATTTTATATTGTATACTGTAATATTATATTATGCATTATACTATGTTATATTATATTATTTAATTTGTTATATTTTTTATGATATTTGTTATTAGTTGTATTTTTATATTTGCTATAATTTTATATTATATTATTACATATAAATTTATATTTATATTAATTATACATTAATTATTAATATATCAATATTATATAATTCATTATTAATTATAAAAATGAATATATATTGATTATATTATTAATCACACATTAAAATTACACATATATTAATTACTATAGTATATAATTATAATTGAAAATATTATAATCGCACCTCCTCTTCTAAAATTGTCTCTTTTCGTGCGCAATCTGAGCGCGAATTAGGGAGAAATTGCTGCAACAATTGCTTTCACATAACACAGCATTTTTTAAGAACCTATCTATCTTGTTCCAAACGGATTACCTGTCCTTATAAACCGATTGAAGCTTCACTATCGAGAAGGATCAACAGGGTTGGGTTCTTGGCAGCGTCGGT